CGCCTGTCATCCTGTCAGGGGTACTTTCCACATTGGAGACCGAATATATATGGCGAGGACTGACAATATCACTTTTTCTTCAGCTCAGGAATAAAATATCCCTTTTTCCTTCAGCTCAGGAACAAAAGAAAAAATATAGATAGTGCAGATTGTATAAAAATAACAAAATTTATTCCAAATATTGCACTTACAAGAAATCAGAAGTAAGACAGCATATCTCCATAATGAAGTAATGGCCGGGTCTCCAGGTGAAAGTAGAGAGAGATCCCAAAATGGAGGTACACAAAATTAAAAAAATATAAAATAAAATAAATAAAAATAACAAATGGACTATAATAACAGCTTAATGAGTTTATCACATTTGTCATGCAAATTGATAATAGATTGAGAACCAGAGAAGCTACTAGAAACAAGACCAGACGTATGACTATGCCTTTAGCACACCGTTTCTCCAGACCTAATTTGGGCACCATAATAAGATCATCAGAAGGAAGTTGTTATGGTGCAAGGAGGTCCCAGGTGCTGGCTTATCTTCCAGGCTAAAAACTATCCATGAATGGTTCACCTCAAAAGTATTCAATCTAGTGCTTTCAGCTCTCGGAAATGAGACCAAAACAGCAATTTTATAAATTTTCATGAATACATAAAAAAGAAACTCTGATATACCTAAGCAGTTTTACAAGATCCATGTATTATAAAGGAACATTTATCTGAATCAGTGCTCATCATCTTGTGGAAGGGTGTTACAAAATAATAGTAAATGTTTAGAGTTGGCTTAAAATTAAACTTTTCCAGATCTACAATTTCTGCATATTTTTCAAGATCATACTGAGGACTTGTTTGACATTTAAACTTGATTAAAACTATTCTTCGATTAATATTACCCCTTTGTCACATGACTGGTCACCTATAAAGAAAGCTGTTTGCTCGGTGGTTGAGACAGGATGTATAAGCGAGGGGATATCTAGTTACCTCCTTGGGCCTTTATACGTATACAAGAGATTAGACTTATGCATGCTGGAAAAAAAGATATTTGGACCAGTAATTTTGTCAGAAGAAAAAATGTATTGATGAATATCAACCATACAAACTGTTTGGGGAAATAATTTGAATGAACAGGAAGCGTGCAGAAACATGTAGTGTATATTAGTATTCTGCCAAATATACACATAATATTTATAAGTATCTATAGCAATTCTGTATCCACTGAAGCTAATTCCAGGAAAAATTCGATCAACTGAATTCCGACTGAATAGTATTTAACCAATTAAATTCAGTAAACATTGGGTTCATATTCGTGTTTTTGGAGTGTTTCCTACTTTTGAGTATTCCATTGTAACTTTTAAGTGTTCAATCCAGCTGATTCCTTGTTTATTTATTATTTTATTTATGGTTTATTTTGTTATCTCATTTAGTGATTGTTAAGCACATCACTTGTGGCTTTTTTCGAGTGCCATGGCCATATCACCAATAACTGAACTATCTCATTTCAGTTGGTTCGTGATTTGGCCATATGGCCTTTCAGTGTTCAGATGGCCTGTCAATTTCCCAAAATTTGGATGACTACAATTTGGCTGAAAATTAATGCACAAAGAGTAAAAGGTCCAAACAGGAGTCTGTAGGAGATCCATAGAAACATAGAATGTGACGGCAGATAAGAACCAGCCCATCTAGTCTGCCCAGTTTTCTAAATACTTTCATTAGTCCCTGGCCTTATCTAATAGCTTGGATTGCCTTATGTCTATCCCACGCATGCTTAAACTCCTTCACTGAGTTAACCTCTACCACTTCAGCTGGAAGGCTATTCCATGCATCCACTACCCTCTCACTAAAGTAATACTTCCTGATATTATTTTTAAACCTTTACCCCTCTAATTTAAGACTATGTCCTCTTGTTGTGGTAGTTTTTCTCCTTTTAAATATGGTCTCCTCCTTTACTGTGTTGATTCCCTTTATGTATTTAAATGTTTTATCATATCCCCCCTGTCTCGTCTTTCCTCCAGGTTAAGATCCTTTAACCTTTCCTGGTAAGTTTTATCCTGCAATCCATGAACCAGTTTAGTAGCCCTTCTCTGAACTCTCTCTAAAGTATCAATATCCTTCTAAAGAAATGGTCTCCAGTACTGCGTACAATACTCCAAGTGAGGTCTTACCAGTGTTCTGTACAATGGCATGAGCACTTCCCTCTTTCTACTGCTAATACCTCTCCCTATACAACCAAGCATTCTGCTAGCATTTCCTGCTGCTCTATTACATTGTCTGCCTACCTTTAAGTCATCAGAAATAATCACCCCTAAATCCCTTTCCTCAGATGTTGATCAAATCATCAAATATTCTCTACTCTGCCCTTGGGTTTTTACGTCCAAGATGCATTATCTTGCACTTATCCACATTAAATGTCAGTTGCCACAACTCCGACCATTTTACTAGTTTACCTAAATCATTTGCCATTTGGCTCAGGGCCGGACTGGGGATTCCAAAGCAGCCCTGGAAAAAAAATCTATTCCAGCCCCATAGGTCATTGCGCCTTATATTGTCGCATATAATATGTAAGGCTATGTCTTGCCACCCTAGATGATTGATATATGTATATATATATATATATATATATATATATATATAGCTTTTTCCAACATAAAATATTGGTCCTTTCAGAGTAAAATGTTTAATTATACAGTAAGCATACTCACATGCAGACACAGACAATCTCACTGACACAAGCTAATTGATACACAGCCTCAGAGACAAACAATCTCACTGATATATAAGGTCATTGACATAAAAACACAAGCTCACTCAGTAGCAGGCACACACACACACAAGCAAGCCCACTCACTAGCAGGCGCGCACACACACAGCTTAATGTAGTGGCTCTGGTGTCTATAGCCTGTCCCTGCAGGCTTTTCAGTGTAAACACTGACTTTTTAGAGTCACTGCTTTCTAGTGACAGACACTCAGACGGTCACTAGAGGTGCTTCCTGTGTCAGTGCGGATTGGCTGAGATCATCAAGCTTGACGATCTCAGCCATAGAGGCGGGGCCAGTTAAGGGGAGACCAGCACGACGTGGGGGAAAAAAAAAGGTGAGTAAAAACACACATACACACACACATACCATGACAGACACACACCATGACACAGACAGACCGTGACACAGACACACACACACACCGTGACACAGACAGAAACACATACACACCATGACAGACAGACACACCATGACACAGACAGACACACACACACAACATGACAGAGAAACACACATGCCATGACAGACACACACACACATACCATGACAGACATACACCTTAAAAAAGACACGCACACCTTGACACACACCATAACACTGACAGACCGTGACACAGACACACACACACCGTGACACAGACACACATTACATGGCACAGACAGACACACACACCATGACACACAGACACACACACACCATGACACAGAGAGACTGTGACAAAGACACACACACCGTGACACAGACAGACACACATTACATGACACAGACAGACACACACACACACCATGACATACAGACACACATGCACACACCATGACAAACACACACCATGACACAGACAGACCGTGACACAGACAGACACACCATGACAGACACACACACACACAATGACACAGACACACATTGCATGACACAGACAGATGCACACACCATGACAGACAGAGAGACACACACCATGACACAGACACACATTGCATGACACAGGCAAACACAAACACACACCATGACACAGACAGAGACACACACACCATGAAGCAGATGCACACACCATGACAGACAGAGACACACACACACCATGGCACAGACAGACACACACAATGACACAGACACACATTGCATGACACAGACAGACACACACACACCATAACACAGACAGAGACACACACACACGCCATGACACAGACACACACACCATGACAGACAGAGACACACACACACCATGACACAGACAGACACACCATGACAGACACACACACAAATGACACAGACACACACACACACACACATACACTCACACTGACACACATAACTGCTACCTGTGTGCTGGCGGCCGCATGGGGAGCTCTGATGGCGGCCGCGTGGGGGAGCTGGCTCTTCTGGCGGCCGCAGAGGGAGCTCTTTTGGCGGCCACAGGGGGAGCTGGCTGTTCTGTCTCTGCTCCCCCGCTCCAGTGCGCTGCTTAATGAGACCGGGGCCGGAATATGATGTCATATTCCGGCCCTGGTCTCATTAAGTGGGGCGGGGGAGCAGAGACAGAACAGCCAGCTCCCCCTCCGGCCAACAGGTCAACCAGCTGCCTGCCCGGCCCCAGGTGCCGACAGCCCACTGGGAGATTTCCCGGTATGCCGGTGGGCCAGGCCAGGCCCTGATTTGGCTTATCCCTCCCTGTGGTATACTATATTTATCAATATTTATTCCGTTTATTTATTCATTATTTTATTTTACAGTTCTTATCCAGAGAGCTTTACACCATTATATCAACCGATTTTAGATACATAATTCAGACTTATTGCTCCAAAAGAGGTAGAATTTAGCGGGACATTCTTAGCTTGTTGTATGTAAGACCAGCTTGTAAAGAAAACATTTACATTGAAACCAATATGATGAGACTAAAAAATAAACTTTTTCTGGTGTGGGAATTTGAGGAATTATTGAAATGATTGTTTGATAACAGGTGTTTTCATTTAAAAAAGAAGAAAAGCAAAAAAAAAGTGTTGATCATGGCTGAGCAGAGAAGTATTTTAAATGTTACAACATGGAAAACTTGATTTTAAGATTATAAAAATCAAAAACGTTGCATTCCATTTAGACAAAAATATATATTTGAACATTCTGGTTACGAGGTTCATTTATATAGCTAGAATGTTAAATTTTTTGCAAAGAATAAACCAAGCATCCAGTTTTGTCTGTGACATCTAATTGGAAAACTCTGGTGATTTCTGAGAAAAATGTCAGCTGGTATTATAGAAATGTTCACGAGGAGTGCGCAGCCCACTGATCTCTCACATGAAATTCCAGCCTTATAGGTTTGTTAGGGACCAGGGCGAGTCTTGCTACGGATCTGATCTTTGCACCCTTGGGGTCTGGTTTTATCTCATACTTCTGTATTATCTGAGGATGAAACACAATTACATTTGAGATAAATTCATAAAGACCGCTGTAGACTTCATATTGCGGAATACAATAGACAGTACAGAGTTAGTAACCTACTTCTTAAAGTTTATATCATTATTAAATAACACTATAGTGAGACTACAGTCTTCTATCAACAGTTTAGGTGTCCAGCTCCCCCTAGTGTATTAAGTAAAAAAGCATTTGGACTTACCTAACTTCCCTGCCGTGCTGCTCTCCTTACCTGCCCCGTCTCTTTGGCTGAGATTATCTATCTTGATGATTTCAGCTAATCCAATGCTTCCCTGTGGGGGTTCACCACACTGCACCAATCAAATGCTGCATATGGACTGAGTTTGACTCGAGTTAGTGTGTTTTAATCCTGCAATGGAAATATTGATGTTTTTACAAAACAGCAAAGCTTTACATTGCAGGGTTAAAACTTTAGTGCCGCTGCACCCAGAGGACTTCATTGAGAGGACGTGTTCTGGGTGCCAGTAGTGTCCTTTAATATGAGGTATTCCACAGAGTGAGTGGACTGGTGACCCAATCACTTTATGGGTATACAACTGTCTTGTTTTATTCCCCGCTGGCAGAATATCCCAGGGCGATGCAGTGAAAGTTAAAAAAAAAAAGAAAGAGGAAAAATAAGAACCAACTTTTATTTAAACATGTGAAAGGTTACAACTCTTGATAAGCAAAAAGGTAGAACTTGCTATAAATTTAATATGCTGGGTAGTGGCTAATGGCGTCTATGCAGTCAGTGGTGTATTAAGCCCAAGGCAAACTAGGCATTTGCCTTGGGCGGCACTAGCTAGGGGGTTACTTCAACGACATCTTTATCCTGGAGAGAGCTTTATATACATACATAAACATATATATTGTATTTCTTAATTGAGAAAGGCAAAGCCCACTAGTTAACTCCTCACAAATTATCTTTGATAAATCTTTCAAAAAATACAAAGAAGGCTCTTACACCTAACATAAATTTTGCATTGCATCACTATAAATATATAATAACTATGTTTCAATTTAGGAAAGCAAAAGCTCAGATCATTATGACCCTTGTGATCCCCTCCACCTAGGAGTGGGTTGTGGCGCTCACTTACCCGAGATAACGCCAGGTACATTTCCAGCTCTGCTATCCGCCTCCCCACGCAGGCTCGAATTCCATGCCCAAAGGGGATTGCACTGAAAGGGTTATTCTTTACTCGCTGGTCTCGGAACCAGCGTTGAGGAATAAATTTGGTGGGTTCAGGAAAGTTGGCCTCTTCTCTGGCAATTTGGTAATGACCCAGAGTAAATTGAGTCTGTATATAAAATCCAGAATAATACATAGTCTTAGTTCTCAGGAGTAACATGATTTACACAATTGGCAAAGACTTTAAACACCTTCAAGTCCACTAATAATTCTGATATCTCAAGGAATCTTGTAAGATTGAAAGAAGCTTCATGGAAGGATCCACAAATTGACACATTTTATGGAACACTAGTTGAGGCATAGAAGCAGATCAGTAGCATTGAAACATAGAACAAACGGAAACTGGTTTATGACAAAGGTGAACATCAGAAATATTTCACTCGTTTCCTTGCCTCATTTCGTCACATTTACCCAAGATGTCTATAAATACATTTATGGAATAAGTAAACACAAGGGCCTCAATTTAATATTGTTGGATAATCTTTTCAAATTATTTAATATTTTAAATAACTTTTAAAATATTTCTTTTAACATATTAAAATAACAAAAATATCATATATATAAAAATGACAAAATATCTACAAAATATCAGAACACTAAAAACTAAAAAATATTTGTCAAAATATTTAATCACTTTAAAAGTTTATCTAAAAATGTTAAATGTTTGGAACTGTTTTGCTTATCAAACTTATCAAATCGAAGCCGTTTTTACAAAGTGTTGTAATTCCTTAACCATTTGTCTCTCTAATTGTTAGTACTTTATGGGACCCCAACATTTTTTGGTGTTTTTAGAAATGAGCACACCATTACAGTTATGGGCGTACCAGTCTCTACAAAATATATGCACATTTTCTACTTACGCCTTCTGGGAAGCAGTAATCTCCTACGACCATTGGTTTCTCGACCACGACTCTCGAATTGGTTGCTACAGCAGGATAAATCCTAAAACCATAGAATAGAGTGAGCCCAACTACTTTGATACATATTATAAATGAACAGTCCTAGTTATTGAAATAGAAATCAGTAATCACAACATAGGATTTCACCGTATATTTTCGGCAGTTAGATATTTTAGATGGTGAAGAGCCCAGAGGAGCCTACCTCAGTGATTCTCTAATCACAGCCTTCAACAGTGGCATATTGTTGATATCATCCGAAGTTGGTATCTTTCGTCCTGGAATTACTGACGATACCTCTTTAAAAAGCTGATCCTGGATCTCTGGGTGTTTTGACAGTAGGAACATAGTCCAAGTTAATGTGTTTGATGTCTGGAGAGAGAAGAGGACATTATTATAGCAAATTTCATTGCTATTAGGTAGCAATACAATATCACACTTTACTCTGCAGCAAAGGGGTAGCAGTGCTAGAAGCAGTCATTTTCAGAGAATGAAGATTATCTAGCACCACAACTATTCAGAATGGAGTTTTATAAACAACCATACTCTTTAGAAATCATGTAAGTGTTTTTTTCAAATTCAGCGTAAGTTGTCCCAATTAAGAGTTTCCATGCTGGACCACAGGAATATAATTTATCAGCTCATGATCAATTAGTTCTGACACTAGTTGTGTCCTTACACTATTGGTGTCCTTACATTCTCGGTGTCCTTACACTATTGGTGTCCTTACATTCTTGGTGTCCTTACACTATTTGTGCTTTTTTTTTGTATTGCCATCAGTAGTGAAAATTTGATTTAGCTGCAGATCCTTCAATCATTGCAGCCCCCATCCTCAACCCATGCAATGATTGTAGGATCTGCAAATACATTTGAGAATGAGTTAGCTCCTACTTTATCAGTTTAAAATATTTGTGTTCGTCAACATACTCTTTTATTTATAATACTGAAAGAAAGAGTTCCTTTAATATAATTTACGTACTGTGTCAACACCAGCCAATAGCAGTTCTGTGACGCTGGAGTAAACTTCCTTAACGGTTAGTTTACCGCTGGAAAGCAAGTATGTCAGGTATTCACCTTTCACCTCTTCACCACGATCCAAACGCTCCTGGATCGAATTCATTTTGTTGTCAATCAACACTTTCCCTATGCAAAATAGAAGCGATTCATCAACCAATGCAGATAAATGCCAAGCTATCGGGGAAAAAAAGCCCAATGTGGAATGGATAAAAAAAAGATTTTACAACGATAATGCTCACCAAAGTGGAACATATGATCCCAGTAGGCTATATAGCGATCCCAGATGGGCAGAAATGATTTGGTCCACTGTGGAAAGAAAGTTACCAAGACAGCGTACTTGAGCGCACCACCAATGGAATCAATAAACCCCTGGGTATCTGGTGAGATTTGCTTCTCCAGGCAGCCAATCCGAGTCTCAAAGAGTATGTACGATATCCCTAAAATATATCATTATTATTGGCATTTTTATAATATCAACACTTTCAATAAAAATGATAGAAAGGGCATATTTTAAAGTGAAGAAGGCCCTGCACAAAAGAGCTTACAATCTATGAGGGTTTGTGATAAGCAGATATATATCCATTGGTGTCCTGCCAAGGGGCACTTGCTGGGGAGGTTGTCTGAGGTTGTCCAGGATTTGAACCTGGGTTCCTGTTTGCAAGGTAATGGTAACTATGATACTTATTTCTGACCAGATTGCTGCAATGTGTGAAGAAAGTGTCTCTCTACCCTGGGTCGGGATCCAAGACTGGGGGCCCAAGCTATATTCAGTCCCCATCGGTTGGAACAGACACATCATATTTTTGTGATACGGGATACAGCATTATTGTAATGGATGTGCTTTACAGAATTTATATTATTGTTTTTCTGAAGGAACTGTGTGGCAGCATCTATTTTAAAATATATTCCATTAGAATAGAAGAATGGGCCCATGAGCTCATTTTACTATTAAAGCATTAGTCTAATGGTCTGTGGTATTTGTATCTGATGACTAGAGTATCGTAGTGCAGCACTGAATTCTCTCTACGAATAATCGACCACCAACAACATTCTGAGTCACAGAGTGCTCTCTTGGATAATGATGCATATTATAGACATAACCAGTTGGTGTTTAGAACACTTTGATACTAAGTATCCTTCAGTTAATTAGTGCTAATTTGTGCTAATACAGAGGAAACATTTACTTTTTACATTTCAGACCTTTCTGACCTAGCATGAGTCCAGGACCAAAATGTCAGACATCTCGACCAAAGAGATTGGTCAACTCTGCACAGTCCATTGGTTTGCCATCCTATATTCCTGATCAGTGATATGTAACTCCTCAAAGACATATTGAGGATATCTTCCACATAGATTAGGTATTTGGAGACTTTAAGAATTTGCAAACAAGCCAATATATCCATGAGTCAATTTAGTTTATTTTCATATTTTTGGGTCTCCCTACACCTCTAACTACCATTTCCTAGTGTTTAGTGCTAGCTGTAATAAAGGGATAACTTTTTATGTACTGATTAGTTAAAAGCAACACTCCCCTCTTTCAGTATGGTGCGCACATATCGAGTATATGAAATGTTATTACCTTCAAAGGCAAATCTGTACATTGCCTTTAGCACATCCTCCACCATGACTCCAGATGAAGAATTCTCCCTTAATTCATCCAGTCTCAGCAGAAAGTCTGTAACCACTTCGTTAATATAATCTGTGTATAAGAGCGCCTCTCCTGGTTTCAGCATTCTAGTATTTAGCACGGTCCGTAACGTCTTCCAGCGGTGGCCTTCCCTAAAGCACAGGTCAGGGTGTTCAATACAGATATAAACTCTATCACCAACCAATATGGCAACAAACAAGTCTCATTGGAAGGCATATCACTCTGCAAACTGTAGGTTTCACTGGGTGCTTGTGCTATCCTTTTATTTTACATTTGTGAAGTTATTTTTGAGTGATATGTCCATTTTCAGTTAAAGACTTATAGAGAGATTAAGGGTCATGTGACGTGCACCCCTGGGTACCAGACAGCTCCCATTATACACGGCAGCTCCCTTCTCCATTACACTCAGTTAACTTCTTTATTGTTAGTGCTAGTTAAACCGCTTGTAGTTTAAGTTAGTGCTAATTAGGTCTCTGGTTATACCAGTCAATTCCTCTTAAAGTGTCTCTGTCACCAAAAATTTATTTCATCTAATCTGTTTCTCTAGAGCCTCTTGTGTCTGAATATATTTTTCACTTATTTCTTGAGCACGCTAGTTTAATTAAATACATGAATAAAAGAAGGGACTACTTTTCTTCAGGTATAGCAGTTGAGTTGACAAAACAAGGAGCTGAAAGCAAGGTTCTGTTTCAGTTAACCAATCAGATTTACCCACACAATCCATCAGTAAAAACCAACCCCTCCAGGAGGGATTAAAGTGGGCATCGTGTAGACAAAGGAGAACAAAATGGCTGTTCCCAGATATAGAGATCCGGCACAAGGAATAAAAAAATATAAATATAAATGGAGTGAAGTATAATTATTAAGATACAGGGGGCATGAGAAAAAGACAGGTCTGCTTTAACTAATCCTTTGCAGCCTGGATTATTTTATTATTTATACTCTTTAAAAAGACACTGTAACCAATCCATCTCGTTGAATGTCCCTCCATTCAGTGTTAAACTATTTTTGAACAGTTTAACACTAAATAAGGATCCCTGTCCTCCCACAGCCGGCTCCCACTGGAGGTGTGGCTAAACAAAGATTAATAATTTCCTATTAGCCATACCAATTCATACCTGCAATATATACTGTGATAGGATGACTGTGGTCAGCTGACACTCTTAGCTAATCATGGCCACCCATTACTGCTCAGTCTAATGATTCCTCTTTAACTTAAGCAATAAAGACAAGATAAGCTGCTGGGATTGTCGTTTAGCATTAAAACATTAAAAATGTTTAAGTCTGAATGGAAGTACAGCAGCAAGGAACTCCAGACACTATAACCACTTCAATCAGATGATGCAGTTACTCTGCGTATAGTGTCCCTTTAGGTTTTATCTTCTATCTAGCCAATAGCAGCCCAGGAATAATATCTCTCTTCTCCTATGTACAACCTGTTAGCTGTGTCTGTTCGCCTTCTCCGCCATATTGTACCAAGTCCTCAGACCTCTCCTAGTTTGCTCCTTCATTTAAAAGCAAAAATAAATCCACATTCCACATTCGAGCTAGTCTACACCCTGATTTCCTCACATCCAACTTGAGGTTATGGATCTCCTTGTACTATAGTCTATGGCTGGTGTCCCTAGACAATGTCACCTCTGTAGGGAAGATCATTTTCACGGCCCAACCATCCAGATGTAAACGTATCTCCAACTAATCTGGAATTTCCTTATTTCTGCTAAGAATAAAGATAAGGCTACCATGCTAAAAACTAAAACTCCTTGTACCTTCCATGTCCAGCTGTTCTGTGGGTAGGCTGGTTAGATCGCCCACGTATGTAGTCATCATATGCTGTAGGAGGCAGATTGGAAATAAATTCTATCATTAAGGCACTTCTTCTCGGATCACTTCTTGATTTTTTTCCTGTCTTAGGAGGACTCAGAATGTACACTCGCCACTATCCATTCATGGATATTCTGAATACTCAGACTTTCTTTAATATTGTCAGAGCACTGGCTAGGTCAACACCAAAACTGCATGTGTATCGGCCTGAGAAGCCTACTTTATAGGATATACCATCTTTTCTCCATTCCCTAAAACATTTAACTGGGGAACTAACTAGTGACCCACAGTATTAAACTAAAAGGAAAATATAATCAATGTTCGAGAATTGAACAAAGAGGAAAACTTTGTTTTTTTTATTACAGAGTACAAACTACCAATCATGATACAATCAACTAATCTATACATTCCAAAAAGCAAACCAAGAATATAAAGGAAAGCATTGATTTAGGGCTTTATCCACTAAACAATAAATAATAGTGAACTGGAAATCAGGTTTAAAATTTAGGTTAAAATTGGCAAGCTGTGATTAAAGTACAAATTATCTTTCCGGACATTCTTAAATTTCAATTTTAGATGATTTTAACATTTAAGATTGGTAGCTCTCTAAAAACACATAGAGAGTAAAAATACAAAGGGCAGCTCATAGCGTAATTAATGTTATAATAAATAAAAGGAAGTATTTACCAAAGGGAGAATTGCTGAAAATTCCAAGAGAACTGAAAGTGAATTTCAATTTAAGGCTAAAATAACTGAATTGTAAAAAAATCTCCAAGTCAGCTTTACTTATTGTTCAGTTATTTCGGCCTTCAATATGAAATTAACTTTGAATTCCTGAAAATTCTCACTTTAGCAAATCACCCTGTAAGTGTATTTTTGCATTGTAACATGTATGACATTTCACCAGAGCAGTTTCCTCTTTTCTGTGAAATTCTGTGTATTTAGCTTTGTACGGCCGTGACGTGTGTTTTCTCCAATGCATACATTGGGATTTTCCAGACTCCAGGACATGGAATGTATACAGACTGCATTCTTTGTACTCACACTGTAAATGGTCCGAGCTCCAGATCTCGCATACGACGATATATTTTCCAGAGCTCCATATCATTCCTTATTGGATAGTTCCCTTCCTTCCTCAGGATTGTTTCCACTAGATCCACATCGACAACATTCACGACTTTGTATCGACCCAAAGTGGTTTTCCAGATCGGGCCATATTTCTTCTTAAATACTCCCTGAAAAAGAGTTGTCCCATTGGGACTTTAATTTCAGAAGGTTCTAATAACAGATTATAATTGATTCACCGAACCGGTAAACAGTTGTGGAGAACCGACAAAGGCAACTCAAGTTTTAGCCCCAAATAACCAAACTGGGAAAATAGCCGAGTTTGAGGATTTAACCCGTTTGGCTATTTTGAATTTCATAGTTAATTCCCAATTCACAGAATAAGTCTGAACGTTTAATTACTTGACATCATAATGTATCAGCACGCACATTTAATTGCTATTTCATTGTTTCCTAAGGGAACATTTTAATTTATTAAACGTTCTTCCATTTTAAGAGAAGCCTGCATGATCTATAATTCAGATATTGAACCATTGATCTCTTATTCAGTTTGTAGCAGTCGATCAAGGGTTGAGCCAGTTTAGTAAAACCTTAAACATGTGAATAAATGAGTAAATATGTTACTGCGATTTATTCACACTGAATACAATGTTTTCTTCTGATATCAGGGATTGAGGAACTGTTTAGTGCACTAGACTTTTATTGGGTTAAAGGAACTCTGTGTGATGCATGTAGGAGTATATAAAGAGGACAGTAGAGGGCAGTAGAGAGGAGAAGAGCAGCATTAGGGATTGTGAGTAAAAATATTGTGACAGCAGGAGATAGCACTGATATAGCAAAGGAGAACTGGTGACAAAAGGTAACAGTAGGGTGCAGCACTGATACAACAAATACAGCAGGTGAATACGACCAAAAACAGGGGACAGTGCTGATACAAATGAGAGCCTGTGACAGGCAAACATTAATGGATTGTGGGTGACAGCATACCAGGGATCTTAAGCTAATTGAAGAAGTCTAGATTATTGGCGAAATGCGTTTTGGCACTTTGTTATGTGAGTATTAATAAATATTGTTATATATTTAGTACCTCCATAGTATATTTAAAGGAACACTCCAGGCACCCAGACCACTTCTGCTCATTGGAGTGGTCTGGGTGCCATCTCCCACTACCCTTAACCCAGCAACTGTAATTATTGCAGTTTTCATAAACTGCAATAATTACCTTGCAGGGTTAACGCCTCCTCTAGTGGCTGTCTTCTAGACAGCCACTAGAGGGCACTTCCTGGTCCATAGCACAGAGTTTCTGTGCTATAGCGTCACTGGACCTCCACCATCGCTAAAATCCCCATAGGAAAGCATTGAAAAGCATTTTTAATGCTTTCCTATGGAGAGGTCTAATGTGAGTGAACGGCATTGCTGCGCATGCGCATTAGGTCTCCCCAGCCGGCGGGCGTGATTAGTCTCCCCCACCAGCTGACGTGAGGAAGGGGAGGACCGGCGGACCAAGAAGCAGCGACGGGGGACATCGTCACTGCCTTTGGTAAGTGACTGAAGGGGTTTTTCACCCCTTCAGCAACCGGGGATTGGGGGGTGGGAGGGAAGGGGACCTGCAGTGCCAGGAAAACGGATTGTTTCCTGGCACTGGAGAGTCCCTTTAGTATCTCCATAGTATATTTTCATAGTATATTTTATCAGTATCAAGCACCTTCATCCACTGGTATACAGCTGTGGGCAGTGTCACCCCATGAGTGACACCAAGCTTACATACCTAGAGTCAGGACCTATTTGGCTCTTATCCCGGTGAGCACATCCAGCTTGTTTGTTAATGATTGATAAGTGATTTATATGTCTGCACTATTACGGCCTTTTTTTCTTTTCCCTTTTGAGTGTAGTGTTTTATGAGAAGAAAGGTGTGTTGCTACCTGCAAAGGAAAAGCCTGTGCGAACACTGAGCCTTATTGTCACCAGGCTCTGCTTCGTGTGAGTGCTCCTAGTTATTGGAGCTATACCTCACTTGTGGACATTGTACCATCTGCACTATATTTTGTCTATTTTGTTTTGGCATATGCTGCTCTCCTGCTGATGTATCACTGTTATTAAAGGGTAAGATACCACATTTTAGTGCATACGTATTAAGCCCCATCCAGAAAGGAAAATGTCAGCTTTTACCCTTCCTTACAGACTCCTGAATTCAGCTCCCACCCCTGTCACATTTAGATTGTAATTACAATGCATTCCCTCCCTTACTTGGTTTGAGGCCCCTCTTATCATATAACTAATCTCTTGTTTACAATACCTCCTCCCAGCTGCTTCCTATCTCTGGAACTCTCTAACACACAATCTCCATTTCCATACACTGTCTTCAAATTACAGTTAATCACTTTACTTATTTCTTCATTAACCACAACAGCCATTTTCCAATGATCAACCACTCTAACCAACGCATTCCTCCTTTTATTTGCCGGTAATTTGGGCGAAACGCACCTGCTCTATACTTTACTCAACCTATCCAGCTCTGTGATGTGAAATGTGTATATATATATATCTATATATACATTAGGACCACTGTTAGTGGGGTTTTGTGTGTACATATATCAGGGCCTGATGAAAGTCTATATGCGGAGACTTAAACACCGAGCTGCACATGCGATCACTCTAAATATTTTTTTATTTTTTTTATTTTAGTATGGGGAATTCCATGTCTGTACATAATACTTTATATATTGGTATAATAAACATGTCATAGGTTGTATTTTAAAATGTGGATACATATGACAGAACAGTGAGATAATGAAGAGGGGGAGTCATTTAAAATGTTGGTACTGGGATCGAAAACCCAAATCAACATTTAGCCCTATATTCTTACTGTCAACAAATTGGACCATTCTGGCTTCAAACTTTTTTCTTTCTTGGGTATTTTTAAAATCCCCTCTCAGTGATTTGTAGGTCCTTGATTGAGTGGTCAGGCTGGGCACAATGTTCTCACAGGAGTGCAGGAAGATCCTTCTTTGTGGTGTTTAATGGGGTGTCTGTCTATGTATCTATCACGCCATTTAGTTGCTGGGTGGTTTCTCCAATGTTTAACAATGTTTCCACCTAGGATGCTACGGTGGGAAACCATGCAGTAAGTAAATATAACGTTTAAATCAGTGCTTGGATTATTATACTAGACCTTCATTGTTTAAAGTTGGCTAGGGGTGATGGGTGTTAAATACCAAACCTCATAGTGATAGCTGCTGTAGCTGTACCTTAGTAGTAAGGTGACCTAATTGTGTTTATATTCATTAATGCTTTTTAACACTAAAAGCTCAAGCACACAGTTAGTATTCAGTAAAGGGTTTTTTATTTATAAAGTGTCAATATATTCGGCAGCACTGTACAAAAGGTAAACAAAACAGAACCTTCACACAATACGTGACAAATGGAACAAATACCCTGCCTATAAGGACGTCTCAATGTAAGTAGCACAGTGTGTACAGCAAACATGAACTACTGGATTGAATATGAGAATGAGCAGGTGTAAGGTAGGTAGACTTCTCAGATCACTTATGGCATTGGCAAACCTGCACATAACAGGTGATATATTCTGGTTCCCTGCAGGTGGAGGGGGGTACTTACTTGCAATTCATGTGAGTACTGCCAGTATCCTTTAAGGAAGACCCAGTAGATGCTAGTGAGGAGGTTGGGTCCAGGGAGATCATCAAATGTCTTATATCTCTTCTCCCCCTCTGTTACCCCAGCTGCAGCTGCCCCTGCTGTGAGTCTGCCCTGGGTTCCAGTGATCCTACATGTCTGCAGCAGAGAGAGTCCTTTCTTTCTTCCAAGAGGCAGTAAGCAGCGCAGGGATGCAGGGGTTAACATGACTCTAGGGTGCCTATGGCTGTGTTGGGGTGCTGAAGCGAAAGGAGAGCCTTTACATGGCTGTAGTTGTAAGTCTGTTATAACATACACAGACACTGCATGTGAAACTCCCACTGGTAGAATTGTCACACCCAACAATACAGTGAGCTGCCCTTAACCTTGACTTTCTCTCTGTACTGTATGCAACGTTGGATCATTGCTGACACTGTGAGTTTTATTCCATCTCATAGATAACACCAATAGTCAATTGCATTCCTTGGACGTCTCAGAAAACACTAAGAACTGCAGCAGTGGACTGAATTTATATTTTATTAGAAGAATGTAAAGAACTCAGAGGACGGAGTGGATGCAGTGATCGTGGGAAAGACCAAGATATTCATTTATAAACTACTTTACCAGGAAGGATACATTAAGATTTCTCTCGTTTTTAAGTATGTCCTGGGATATGAGTACATTCTGTGGTCTGCCTGAGAAAAATGTTCAGAACAAGCTGAGAATAGAGCCACACAGTCCACACGATTCCATTAAATGATCAGTTGAATTCCTTGGCAGGCAAGCATTGGCCTTGGGGGTCAAGTAAAAACAAATAGTCTTTTTTTGCAGATGAAAGTCACGTGTTGGTGTGTATGGTCCTCCTCACATAGAGTTTAAACGATAGAGTCTGCTGATAACGTAATGGGGGACATCACATATTCCTACTTGTATCTATCAGTATGACCTATGTATGATGAAAGATCTGGGAATGGGATTCAGACCAAGTTTCCTGCAACTTAGTTGCCACTAGAGACGATCTGCGAGTCTCATATCCCAGTGGGCCAATTAAGCATGGAGCTCATTGAGACTCTGGGCCTCCAGCCAATGCACAAAACCACATTTCCTGTCTGCGGCCTCGCTCCTGCTGTACTGTACCAGCGGACATCCCAACTCACCTTCTGCTGCTTTTAAAGAAGCACAATGGGACTGTTATGTTTGACCCACAGGCCCTGAACAATACCCCCCACCTCACTGGTCAGCCATTCCCATTTGCAGTTTTAAAAGAAACAAAGAGTTTGGGATGGTTTAAGATTATACAGCCACTCCTATCTCTTACCATGAATAGTCTTTTTAGGGGCACTTTAGCCAATGTAATTTAACACTTATTATTACAGCTTGGTGTAGTGTTTGTGTTACTAGTAGTCTACAGACCCTATAGGCTATGGGTTAATTGCTGATTGAAACACTGAATGTGTATTATATTATTCAAAAATAGCATTACAAAAAATATATATTTACCACCAGCAGTTTACAGCTAGACAATGTGAAAAGGGCCTGCCACCTCAAACTTCCAGTCTCATACCCCTGGGGAATTAAAATATAAAATCTGAAGTTGGAGAAGTGCCCTTCCATGTAAAGATGATATAATTCCAAATACGGCTATAGCAGTATTCTCACATCCACTCTAATCCTGGCATTTTCTCACATACATAAATTAACGAAGCCGAGTGTGAACCTATGCTACATGCAAACATGGTGTCCATGGTAGTTCCTTTCTGAGGTATATAAAAATAATTTTGAAACAAATAACCTTTACTTAAAAACTTATAAAATAAATAACTAATAAAGTTGGTTTGTTATAGCTAGTGTTTAAACAGGGTCATCTTCCCTTCTTGATGCTGTTGGCAAATGTTTACAGGCAATTACTGTATTATATTACTATATCTGAATTATATCATTGTAAAGTGCTTGAACATGTTGGTATACTATAAATGCTTCTGTCCCGTTCCTCCTTTCATTAGTCCTTTCTTTGCTGTACATCTGGCATACTGTTTCTGCCTCATCTATAATGTTGTCTTCTCCCACTACTTCACTGTTGATGTCCAGTAATATGAGACATGAAGTAGGTTTGCTATTGCATGGAGGACAACCCAAAATATACCTATACCCAATGTTCAGTATTTTAATGGAGTTTTGCCTGTTAAACTGGGAATTATGTAGAATTGGCAAAGAAACTGTAACTGTTTTGACCAAAATTTGCCAAATTAAAATAATTATCCAATTCAGCAATCTTGCAATAAATCTATATTGTAAAACTTTGGTTGTCAAAACTTACACAATTGCAGGTTTAGTAAATAGATCGCAAACATTTGTATTGACCTGTAATGAACTCCTGGTACACGTCTAGCTGCAATCTGAAGACGTGAAGGACAACTGAACGAACAGTAAATTTATCTATCTGCTATTGCTGATTAGAGGTTCAGTGTTCCAAGGCAATGTTTTATGTTATATTTATCACGATGAAAGAAAACACCTGTGTAATATATTTAGTAAACTTCATTCAATGACAAAATTATTTCTTCCAATCCATAAACCCAGTATCTTTTAATATATTTTAACCAACTGAAGATTGTACTCTTCTTGTTTATAACAGAAATGTGACAGACCGCCTGGCACCCCGACCGGGTGCATCCACCAATCGATGCTCCTAGTGCTCACCGAGGACTCCAAGCACTCCACCAGACACCATCAGCACTGTAGTGGAACCCCATAACCACCTTAGACTCCCACAAACCGCCGCAGCTTGGTTGGGGAACTCGCCGTCCTCCACCCACCCTGGACCCAAGACCAGGATCCAGCTTCCAGTGGGTAGACATCTCCTAGTCCAGAGAGCATAGTAGAAACAGCTCTTATAAAAGCTAGTGATTATACTCAGGAGAGTATTGTGAAATAGCAATCCCCAGAGTGTATGTAGTTTTCCAATCCCCCAAACATAAGCCAAGACTTCATGAAGGGGTAAACGAATCTCAGTTTAATGGGAGCCACACTTGGCCTTATATGACAATCCCCATGCAAGGGGAACGCCCACATGGACCTGATGGTAGACTGATTTGCAACTTCACAGACCAATAACAATAAGGTTACAAGGCACGGCACTCCCACACACAGCACACAATCCCTCTCCTCTGCCTGGGAGATAATTGGATCAGTAACTGTATTAATTCTAATCCAATTATCTCCAAGAACAGAAAAAACATACTTTTTAAAAACACCCCAAAAGTACCCTAAAAATACATAAACCCCTACAAATATTATATTCCCTGACAGCCCTGATCTGGGTGACCAACATATCGAGAAATCACCCAGATCTGTTCAGGGGTTCAGGAATTTCCTGGAAGTCTTATTTTTGACCGACCGCACGCCTGGTCCCATGCCCAAAACAGATCCAGAGAATTAGAGCTAACGGTCGGTCTCTCTGTCTGGAGTACAAAAGTACATACTTCACATGAACAGAGCCTTTAAAAGTGCATTGGGCAAGGTATATTGCAGGGCCCATAGTCCTGAGCAAGACGCTGGCCAGCAGGCCCTTCCAAGAACCCGTGATGAGGCTCAGTTCATCACAAGAAATATTAATTCTAACATTATGGGGATTTTATGCACAGTATAGATAACAAACAGATTAACGTATATTTATATAGATAGATAGATAGCTCTGTTATTATGAGCATTGTCCTTGTAAAAAGTTGAATACATGATATTTGTTCAATTTGTTTTGATTGCCTTTTATTAGAATTCTGTCATTTAAGGAAAATCCAGAAGATTATAATACAGTAAATTGCAGAGAGCCCTTAACCTTATAAAAGTCAGATTCCAAAGAGAGAAGGTTTCGATTTTCATTTAAAAAGGGCTGGATGACAATTGACCTGGGGCCACTAGTGGTTTATGAAATTTACAACATTCTTCTGCTGTAAGGTAGGTGCATGGGGCTGTCTGCCAGTAAAGTAACGCAGGAGAGAGACAGCAGGCGGGAATTGGGCTGAATCAGCTTCCTATTGGCTAATGTGCAATCCTTTTGTGCTCGTCCATGATGTCATTGCTAACCAGGACTTCGCTGGGTCAGTGGGATATTTTTCTGTGGATTGCTGTATTGGGGGCTGGGATAACTTTCAGACTATGATGAATATCATATTATGTTTATTGGGAGAAATACAATGATTCAGTCTCAAATAAGGACATATATTTGTACTTGTCCCATGACATAACTCCCAGCCGTCCCCTGTTATAAAGTGACCATGCCACCATCATTGCCTGTTGCTGTCTAAAATCAGAAGTGAGGAAAGTTGATTGATACAATGCTATGGTCAAAATTTACCTTCTTGCACTTTAGTAAGCGTGAACCAGTGACGAATTGCCGTCACATATTGCAGGAAAGGGAGTTCTTCTGCTGAGATTGTTTAGATAAATTCCATTAAATTGAATTTGCCACCACTTACCTCCGCCTCTGCTTCCCTGCCACAGAGGTCGGTGGTACCTTTTTGACAGATTAGAGAAAAAATTATTTTAAATAAGTTTTTCTCCCAATCTTTACATTTGTTTAAAAAAAAACAAGCATTTTGAATAGATGACATTTTAGGAGTCTTAGGTGCCCTTTAACGTGGATTAATAAAGCAAAACCCCAGGAAGTTCTTGGAAGCTAGTAACAGGCGGTGCTTGATTTAGGTCTCATGGCCCGGTGCTGGAAGCTGGGTGGATGGAATGAGAGAAGTTGAATCGTCAGTTGTTATGGTAGCTGTTATGGATTCTATGTGCGACGTATAGCAAACATCATGCTGATCCACACTGACATTGAATTTTTCCTCCTATTTGATGGCATTATTACATTTCTGGGTTTGAGGCTGCACACACGACGGGCACAGTACAGTATGACAGCTATGTAGAGACGGGATACAATTAATAAATAAAAATGCAGTTCCATTTATAATGAGTGGAGCATGAAATAGAATGGAAAAAAAGTTAATCTGCCCTTCTAAATATTGAAATACACCGTCCATGATAAATATTTTCATTCAATATTGTAGAATGACTTGTGAACTGCAATAATAGATAACAGAGCCTCAGTTGCTACATATATATATAGGCATAGGTATGTAATAACATTAGAAAATTGTGAGTGATTAATAAGAGTGGCATAGACTCTTTATAAAGAATGATGTATGGTGCATCCATAGGGAAAAAGAATATCGACCTCACGTTCGTTATAGAGAGGCCGGTCCAGGTATTTCCCAGTCTATTCTATACAAAGCTGCTTTTTAAATTGTCTGTGTGAACTGAAAGTGAGTTTATAATCCAAAAAGTGACTTCCTCGAGATGCTGTAAACTACGGCCTTGATGCAAAACTGTTGGATAAGTTTTTCAAATGATTTCATAATTTTGGTTAAGCTTGTAAAATATTTTTTTTCAAATTACTAAAATAACAAAACTCTATCTATAAAATATATATATTAATACATCAAAAACTGTCAAAATATGACAACATTTAAGTATTTGTCTTAATATTAAATCATTGTGGCCATAATAATATATTTTTTGCATAAATATCTGATTGGATTTACTGAGTTTTTTTTAATTTTTTTATTCAGAGCTGTGTAGGACACCCTATAGGAGGTAAATCCAACAGCCCAATACTGAATGATAATCACATATCATCTTATCGAGTAAGTACATCATACAATATACAAAGTGGGAATCCGCCATTACAAATGATCACAAGTCATATATAACAAATAATACACTGCTGATTAAAGGGACACTATAGTCACCGGAACAACTACAGCTTAATGTAGTTGTTCAGGTATGATCTATAGCTCCCTGCAGGCAATCTAATGTAAACACTGTATTTTCTGTATTATCTGTATTATCACCTTTAACTCAGTCATTATCAGATTAATACTTGGCTGGTGCAGGGTTTTATTATAATACCTGCAATTTGTAGATTAACAATTATCGCTTTGCTAATAATTTTCTAAAATCTTTTTACATCTGTATAAGTGTTATCGATGCTGTTCTGTTTTAAAATCACTTTTCCCCCTCCATTATTATGATTAGTATTAGTATTTATATCAGGCAAACATATTCCACAGCACGTTACAATTATAGAAAGTGGAAGGCGTGAAGAAGGCCGTGCTCAAATGACCTTTCAATCTATGAAAATTTGAGCCCATTCATTTTACAAAACACATTAAATTCTCAGCTGATGTCACTGCTATACAAAGCAATATTGAGAAAAAGATAAAGGGACCGCTCACTGCAGTGATCTTTATTTAGTAATATTCCAAAGAAGAAGGAGAGTGAAGTTGTTTTTTTATTTTTTAAAACTTCAGAAATGCTTTCAGATACACAAATAAAATTTATTGGGGCATTCCTCTAATTTTATGAAAAATCGCCTTTTAATAACTGTTCTTTTTGAAGATCTTGAGAATGAGGATGGGCACCAAAATGGTCCTTGTTTTACCAGTCTCTTTCTCCCTTTTTGGGGAATCACTATTCAGAGAAAATACAGTGTTTACATTAATTGATAGGAATATCTCCAGTGGCTGTCACTCAGACGGCCACCAGAGGGACTTCCTATCATGTAGGGCCCTAAAAAGTTCTGCTGTATACCCTATGAGTAAAGCAGAGCATTCATTGTATTGCCCTGTTAGAATTACATTTTAAAAATGATCTGTATCGGTTTATGGTTCTTCTTAGACTTCATAGAATTTCGAAATACCATTCATCGAGTTGTTGGAGATGTCATAAAGAATTATGAACTATTGACCACATTTGGTGGGACTGTGAGGGAATACATGATTTGAAAAGAAAACTGTTTCTAAAGGAACCAAGTCAAAAGGATAATTCAGATGTGCCTAAAGGGGTATCAGCTACACCTCGCTGACAAGGCCCAAAAAAGGCCGAAACAATTGTCTGGGGTTGCTGTTTCTCTCATTCAGAGAGAAGTTGCTGGCATTTTGGTTCTGGACTGACCAAATGAATGGGATAAGTCTGATATGCATTGGACCTGGTTCTCTCTGTAATGGCACGAATGAGCAAAAACTACTTTGAGACCTGAGCAGGAAGTTAGCGAAGGGCAAGCTACGGAGTTCCTCTAAGCTTTTGTCTGTTGTCAGAGATGTCATATTCTCTATTTTTGTTTAAGAAAATTAGTATCTTGTTTCCTGAGGTTTTGTCAGTTTTCCCCATAACACTTTCTATTTAATACCAGTATTACCTCTCAAAATAGGATTTATTATATTTAATCACTCACATGCTTTTTGCTACTAAGATCGGCATAGCGCGTTCATTTGGAGAGAAATCCAATACAAAACGGAAAATAATTTTATATCACTGGCAGGCCATTTTATTCCTCGTTATTATTTATGGTTTCCCAGGATGAAGAGTAAAGACATACTGTTATAATCACTTATTAAATTATTTATTTCATATTACCCCTGTGGGATAAGTCCTGTGCCGAATCCTAAATGTGTTTTGTTTAGTATTGTATGTTCAGAAGGATATTGATACCTTAGAGAGGGTTCAGAGAAGGGCTACTAAACTGGTTCATGGATTGCGGGATAAAACTTACAAGGAAAGGTTAAAGGATCTTAACATGTATAGCTTGGAGGAAAGGCGAGACAGGGGGGATATGATAGAAACATTTAAATATATAAAGGGAATCAACACAGTAAAGGAGGAGACTATATTTAAAAGAAGAAAAACTACCACAACAAGAGGACATAATCTTAAATTAGAGGGACAAAGGTTTAAAAATAATATCAGGAAGTATTACTTTACTGAGAGGGTAGTGGATGCATGGAATAGCCTTCCAGCTGAAGTGGTAGAGTTAACACAGTAAAGGAGTTTAAGCATGCGTGGGATAGGCATAAGGCTATCCTAACTATAAGATAAGGCCAGGGACTAATGAAAGTATTTAGAAAATTGGGCAGACTAGATGGGCCGAATGGTTCTTATCTGCCGTCACATTCTGTGTTTCTATAATATATAGCGCTAGCATACACTATAAAAAACAGAAAATAATCGTCCTGCTCAGACAAGCTTGCTGTCATAGGAGGAATGAAAAAGGCTAGAATCTTTAAAAAGTTATCACCAGGTTAAGTGCTTTTTAACCTTTGCATCTATATTATCACCTTTAACTCAGTCTTTATCAGATTAATACTTGGCTAGTGCAGGGTTTTATTATAATACCTGCGATTTGTAGATAACAATTATCGCTTTGCTAATAATTTTCTAGAAGATTTTTACATCTGTATAAGTGTTATCGATGCTATTCTGTTTTAAAATCACTTTTTTTCAGAGATTTCCCCCTCCATTATTATGATTAGTATTAGTATTTATATCGCGCAAACATATTCCACAGCGCGTTACAATTATAGAAAGGGGAAGGCGTGAAGAAGGCCGTGCTCAAATGACCTTTCAATCTATGAAAATTTGAGCCCATTCATTTTACAAAACACATTAAATTCTCAGCTGATGTCACTGCTATACAAAGCAATATTGAGAAAAAGATAAAGGGATCTTTATATAGTAATATTCCAAAGAAGAAGGGGAGTGAAGTTGTTTTTTTGTTTTTTAAAACTTCAGAAATGCTTTCAGATACACAAATAAAATTTATTGGGGCATTCCTCTTATTTTATGAAAAATTGCCTTTTGATAACTGTTCTTTTTGAAGATCTTGAGAATGAGGATGGGCACCAAAATGGTCCTTGTTTTACCAGTCTCTTCCTTTTTGGGGAATCACTATTTCTGTGTGGAGGGCAAGGCTGGGTAAGAAGGTTGGCGACCTACAGATATTAAATTGACTGCATGTATTTTTTCATTATGCTATTGGAGTTATTTTTACCCACGTTTCTTATTTGGGACATTGTTCTTTTTTTATTTCTCGAACTATACACAAACATTAGCACTAGGACACTGATGTACAAAGGTTACAGGAACACTGCAGCATTAGGGTTACAACCCTCAATGTTTTCCCGGGTTTGTTTGTCATTGTAAAAAGTTAAAAGAATATGCTTTAGTTTGTAAAAATAAAAATCCCTCTTATGTAAACATTGTGTCTGATTAGAAAATTTTATAGAGAAGTGAAATATCCTGTGTCTGACTTTTTCAGAGATAGAAGCAGTTTAGATTTTGCTAGAATTAAGGTAACACCCTTTCAGTGTCAGGTCTATAAAAAAGTCATATTGTGTAGCTTACACTATTGTCACCAAAACAACTTTAGCTTAATGAAGCAGTTTGGGTGTATAAATCATGCCCCTGCAGTCTTACTGCTCAATTCTCTGCCATTTAGGAGTTAAATCACATTGTTTATGCAACTCTAGCCACACCTCTCAGCACATGACATGACACAGGCTTCCTAAACACTTCCTGTAAAGTCATATGATGTTTACACTTCCTTTATTACAAATTCTGTTTAATTTAGAATTTATTTTCTCCTGCTCTCTTAATAACTTGCTAGACCCCGCAAGAGCCTCCTGCAGGGTCTAGCAATTTCTTTTTGGTATGTTTGTATGTTTTTTATTTCATTTTTTGTGACACTTCATTTTGGTGACACTTTTTGTCCATGTTTTAAATCAAGAGGAGAAATAAATGCATATATTATTCCTCACACATAGGAGGCCTTAGTTAAGGAATTACAAGTATTTGATACACATTTTGTGTAATAATATTTTATCAGTATAGATTAGGGTTCTCTTATGCCAGTTATGGAAGTCACATTTTTATTGGGTCAATCCTCACCGCTGTGGGGAGAGGTGCTCTCCCCTAGTCTGCATATAACCCCAGTGTATCAAAAATCATATAATATTAATAGGAGTTTGTGAGAAAGGATGTAGAAAAATAAGGTGGTGGAAGAATTTTATTTTGAAATGATGACAAGAACTTAATTAAAACATTTTGTGTGAACCATATCTCGCTTCTTCTTTTAAGTTCGCTGAAGAACATAGAAAATAGTTAAAGGGACAGTTTGGGCAACATAACTTTATATAAATGAAGTTGTTATGGTGCCAGGAAACCACTGGGCACACTCTTACCTCAGGGGGTTAAACCATTCTGAAATGGTTTAAGCTGAAAATGAGCCTCCAGCGCCGATCTCAAATCAGTGATTCCCCCCCCCCCATTCTTTAAACTGGCTTGGAAAGAAATATACATTTTCCAAGCCAGTTTTATGAATGAGGAGTCACTGAATCTGCAGTGCCCCTCCCGGGTGGCACTCTACACTTCCTGAAACTGAAAAGTCAGAAACCAGATGCCGTCTGTGGGGAGATGAGATTGGCACTGGAGGCTCACTAAGTGGTTTAACTGTTCAAGACCAGTTTAACTCCCTGAGATGAGTGCATCCAAGGGGCTCTTGGATTTAGATGAAGTTGTTATGGTGCCTGGAGTGTTCCTTTAAGAACATTGCAAGATAATTTATGCAAAGTGATGTAAATATAAAGAGTTAAAGGGACACTATAGTCACCCAGACCACTTCAGCTCAATGAAGTGGTCTGGGTGCCAGGTCCCTCAGGTTTTAACCCTTCAGATGCAAACATAGCAGTTTCAGAGAAATTGCTATGTTTACATTGCAGGGTTAAGCCAGCATCTGCGACGCTGAAGGCATATTATGTCTCCATCGCACAGAGCGTCCATAGGAAAGCATTGAAAAATGCTTTCATATTGACAGCTTGAATACACGGCTTCGCTGACGTCTGGGAGAGGGAGCTGACATCGACAGGGGAGGAGAGGTCACGAGCGCCAAGGGAGTCCGGCGCTGGAATAAGGTAAGTGGCTGAAGAGGTTTTAACCCCTTCAGTACCACAGGAGGGGGACCCTGAGGGTGGGGGCATCCTCATGGCACTATAGTGTCAGGAAAACCGCTTTGTTTTTACAGGTCCATGAACATTGGAAAAGTTATTTTGTTGTAACAAAGATTTCAAAGAGTTTATTAGACTCAGGACTGTAATGGGGTTTTTGGACTCACAAATCAAGGACTCGTGAAAAAGGCAAACAATTACAGATGAAAGAATTATTTATAGACCAACAAAGAGAGGACATTACTAAGAACTGTGAGCTTTGGGTTTGGTTAATTGGTTACTTTTTATTTGTCCTGTTACCATTTGCCAATTGGTAAACAAAATGTTCATTGCATGAGGTCAATAATAGTGAAAATCAACAATGGAATTGTAATTTTATTTATTTATTTTTCTTGTGAATCTTTATTTGCCGTGCAAAAATAAAATTACAAAGAATCTTGAAATGCCACAACAGCATCTGCAAGATCGTCATAGTAAAACATGTAGCATAAAGCGTATATAACAGGTAATGTTGCGTTTGGTGACATTTTGTTTATGCAAACAATTTTTTTAAGGTTTCATTAGCGTTAAGCAAACATGACTAAGCACTTGGGTTAAGACTTAACATTTAGAAGCTACTGACTAGTTTCTCATGTTAAGTTACTCTCCCCCTCCTAATTAAGAGTGTGCAAAGCAGCCTTTAATTTACCACTGACCCCATAGCTAGCAACCTAGACTTTCCTACCCAGCAATGGCACGAAAATTAACCAGAGCCCAGTTAACGAAGGTCCCACACTAGTTACATACCCACCCTGATGTGCCTTTGTTTTTGCTAAAAGTAATGTCTCGATACTAAGCCTATGGGCACTTACTGCTATAAGTATGCGCCCCCCCCCAACATATATTTGACATCCCCCTCTGGAATGGGCAAGAGAGGGCTAAATAGGCTTTCAAACATTAAAACTGGTTAGTTCCCATTTGCGTGTAATAATTGTTATTAATTTTGTTAATAATTGTTATTATTTGTAAAGCCAAACACGTGAGAATTTAATCACTGTGCTGCACCCACAAAAATAAAGAATAAAAAAAATTCAAAAATACTAAACATTTAGTTAAAAGAGAATTACTAGACATGTAGACAGTGAAAAGAAAATAGGCATTAAATGACTTGTTAGATTGACTCTTAGATGCTTACATTGACTCTCTGTTAACCACTGAAATTTTAGACCTATCTGTATCACTGCACCCTATGATATGGAAGTTAAAGGAGAAATAAAAAGATTAACAATAAAAAGAATAATTATAAAAATGAGTTGCTTAGATAACATTGCAAAGACCAGATGGCGTCTGCATCCATTAAATACAAGTATATCTCAAGCTATGGACCCAGAACTTGGATCAACCAATCCCCACAGGTGGCAAGATTGGTGCACCCCGAGGAGAGCACATGCAGACTGTACCATGTCACCAGAGCTGGGACTCCCTCCAGCCCCGAGCTTGTATAAGAGTCAGCATCCATAGTCCACAGATTTGGAGACTCTCAGGTACAAAGTTTTTCCCCCACCGGGGCAGTCGAAGGATCTAGATGTCCAATTCCTCTGTCTGCAAATTAACTTTGGCCTGTGTGGTCGATGCGAAGAGGTGATACCGTGTGAGGCTCTCGGCCCAGGTAGGTTGACAACAAAATAGGGTGATGCTTGTGGACTTGATTTACCCTGAGGGGGTCCTTTCTTCCTCGCCAAAATGCTTCTCAGTCTGTACTCTGATGGCTTAGTTAGGGAGAATCTCACACATTCCTGTAGCTTATGCCAGAAGGTCCAGAAGACCTCTTCCAAACGCTGTAAGGTGTATTCAGTAGTGCTACAATGCGGACACCAGGATGGACACAGGCCCTCTGAGTTTGTTTGTTGTAAAGTCACCATCTTGTATGGTCGTATTAGACGAAGTGCATCTAGTGAGCAATGTGGAGCAAGAGGTCAGTGTAGCAAAACCAGCTCGATTGGGTTCAGTGGGGAGAGAGATTTCCCCTTCTAGTCTAGAGTAAGGGTAGGAGAGCAGTGGGACCATGCAGTGAACTAAATAGCGAGGAGATAGGCCACCTATTTGCAGATCTGTCCCCAGAAGGTGGAAACAAAGATTTTCAGGCTCCCGGTGGAGTTAAGACTCAATTAACTCCAAGTACTCATCCAGGGATCCTCGACGTTGATAGTGCACAATTAAGAGTTAACATGAGTTACTAAATTGCCCACTTTCTAAATTTCCAGATCAGCCCATATAAATAAATTGTATAGTCGGATTAGCCCAAATAAATACCTTGTATAGCCCTCCCAATATAAGACTTTGAGATAAGGGATAATGTACCTAAACTTGTTAGTAAACCAAGTCATCAGTTATTTGCAAGTCGATACATTTTCACGGATCATTTGTTGTTTGCTGAGAAAAAAATATCTCCCTTCACTATTCACTGGATAATTGCAAATATATCTATAGGTTATGTTCCTCAATAACAAGAAGAGTCTAATAATACTTATTTAGTAAATTTTCATGTTGAAATTGAAGTTTAGGCATTTTTTGGGGAGCCTAGTTCATCTGAATTTTAATAAAACAATAGACAGCCTACCTTAAGTACAGGTAAAATTTGAATATAAAAATACCCACGACTGTTAAAAACTAATTGTTATATTCTCAATTATAAACCAAGATTATTCCGATTGCCTTACAAGGGTAAAAATATGCTTATAGATGTATATTCAGGCCTTTGCAGACATTAGGTAGACTCAGCCTAATGGAACCTAGCAGCAATATTTAGTTATTGGCACCAAAGGACACCCTAGCTGTTTTTAACTCCCGCCAGATAAGTGCAGGTAAATATTATGTGAACGCATTAAATCACATGAGAAACTCTCCGAACACTCTTTGATTTTCGACAAGAACAATCAGTCTTTAAAAATTCCATTATTTGAAAGTTATATTTTTCCTTATAAAACTGTTTTGTTTTGTTTTTAAATATTTAATTTGTCTCAACTGCCCCATTTATGACTTTTATGATGTTTCCTTTTATTTGTGAAAGGTTCTCCTCTGTAATACATTCAAGAATTCTGCTAGAGTTGATCTGTTGGTAAATCTGACAGACCCCTTGACTTGTGTCTTGTGGTATAGTTACAACTTGCAGGAAGTAATGAAGCAAACATCAGTCCTTTTGCTGTCCATTTGAATAATTCACCTAATCATGCCGGGCTTTCTCTCTCGAAATTGCAAGTTGATTGGCTTACTTGGAGTCAAAACAATGCGAGCTATGGATTTGATGTCCCCACCAGTGGGATCCTGTCGAATCTCAAACAGACGTATTATCTGGAGAAGACAATAGAAGTCAACATAACTAAAGTAGATGTAACAAAAATAAGAAAACTTTGCACTGACAGTGGGAATTAAAAGTGAACTTCAAATTCAAGATACAAAAAAATAAATAATCTGCATATATTAAGTTGGATTTTGAGAAGTCCTCCTCGGGCACAGAAACTCAGGAAATCACGTTTCCTTAACTAACCCAGAGATACCAGTTTGATATGTAAATATGCACAGACAGGCCTCTTTTTTCAGACCTCATGATACATTTTCACAGATAGCTTTAGGAATATACACTTTTTTTTTTAAACCAAAGAATGGGCTCTGATCCAAAAGGATCAATAACCAGAAACCAGCCATGGACTGCCATCATCAGCATGGTACCAGTTCTTGTGTGGAAGTTGAAGTCTCTCTGAGAGCATATTGCTAGGTTCCAAAAAGAGTGTGACGAGGTCTAACATGATACAACTCCCGGCAGTGCAATTACAATTTTTTTTTAAAAATGGCTGTGCATCGCCTGCATATCTCAAGTTGGTCTTTGAGGGGCCCTTCTTGGACAAAGAAACTAGAGAAATCATATTTAAACTTATCACCCATGATGCATGAAAATTACCCGTGATAAAGCCAAGTACATCTCCAGCTCAGCAATACGGCGCCCCAAACAAGCTCGGACCCCATACCCAAAGGGAACAGAACTGAATGGATGTTGCTTCATCCCACCATCCCTCAGCCACCGTTGGGCCACAAACTTCTCAGGATCCGGGAAATTAATTTCATCTCTGCTTATCGCGTAATGAGACAGAACAAAGAGAGACTGCAAGAAAAGAAACAAACATGTGAGAAGACTCCAGAGTGGGGCATTTTTATATGGTTTTCAAACACAGACCAGGACCATAGCTAGAATAAGGCGCAAATTATTGATTAACAAAATGTTCTTCATCTGATAGGAAACTTGTCACGATTAGCCAAGATAACTATTTAACAGAAATGAATAAAAATAAAAACAAAACATTTTATATTCTCTTCTTTCACAACCAAATGTGTTAGACCAAGTCCTTTAATAATATCAAACTATTTAATCAGGAAATATATATTTAGATTCTACTAGTATCAACTAAAACCTGGGAACAAGATGTTATTATTTCCCAACTTAATTTGTCACTGTATCAACCTCGGAAGGTGTTAGCTGAGTCCACGATGACATGAAGGAACTCAAGATTCTGACATACAGCAGATTAACCTCTAATATTCCAGTAATTTCACTGTCTTGCATGATTTATAAGGAGCAAATCTAGAGAAGCCGTAAATGTTGTAAACATTGGGGTTTTTTTCATCTCTAATCCACACTCTATCCAAGATATCGACGTTTGCAGTAGAGAGATATGACATTTACATTTTTGGGAAACTGATAGTCTCCGATCACAACTTCTTTCTCGTTTACAATCCTTGCGTTTGTTGGAATGACAGGATAAAGCCTATGAAGAAAAAGAAATAAGCAAATATACTTACAGCTTCAAAATGATGACTACTGTGTTTAGTTATGTTACTATGTAGTCGTGTTCCATATAGAAACTACTGTGAAAGCGATTTGTGCCTGTCCCTCAGAGGCTCTAATCCATGTGAGTTTGAGTATTTAAGACATCACTTAACTATATTATCCTTTGTGGATTTACACGATATTGTTTTTTATTCTTTTGTTTACCTTGTATGTATCAAATGTACATCTGAGTTTCAACCCTATTTTAGGGTAAGTGTATATTCTTAGCACTCCAATCACTTGATTAATAGAGTCTGGATGTTATATCCGGATTTTACTAAACTCACTTTGGTTCAATACTATATTTAGTGGGGATTAGAGAGCACCCACTGGAGTGTGTAGCTGCTTTTCTGCACTCAACCATATCTGCAAGCTCACTTTGCACAGTAACCACCAATTTGTGTTCCATATAGAGTCTATAGCATTATATTTATATCCTACTACATATTTGTCTTTAATAACTCATTGTTTTTATGTCATTAGAAAATATTCATAAACAATTACTAGGACCTTTTATTTCGATTGCAGCATCTCACATGGAAACCACATTTGGAGACTATTTTTACAATGGATCTATCAATGTGGTAGTCCAGGTTTGATCATAACCTACCGCAGTGTCTCCTTGATTACTGCTCTTAAAAGGGGCATTTTTGGAATATCGTCAGCTGTGGGGATACGATCCATGGGGGCAGCCTTGATCACCTCTTCATACAGAGATTGCTGAAGTTCTGGGTCTCTTGCCAAATGATAAAGTGACCAGGACAGCGTGTTGGAGGTCTGAGGAACACAAGTAAGCTTAATGGACGGTCATAAATGTTTTCCTTTAAATATATTGTATTGTATTGTACTTCAAATGGTTTATTTGCATATAAAGGGTGGGTCAAAATTCACATAGGATTTGGCAGGTAAGTAACTTATTTGTTAGTAGTTTGATTTTTTTGTCTTGGGAGATTCATCATGGGTAATTTCACAAAGAAACAATGAAATATTTCAGATGACTTAAAGGTAGGAAGACAATGGAAGCGCCTCTAGCGGCTGTCAGTGAGAGAGCCACTAGAGGCTGGATAAACCCTCGGTGAAAAATAGCAGTTTCTCTGAAACTGCTATGTTTACAGCTGCAGGGTTAACACTAGATGGACCTGGCACCCTTCATTGAGCTGAAGTGGTCTGGGTGCCTATATTGGACCTTTACCAATGTTATGAGAAAAGCAATCAAAAGAGATGGTAAATGGAGCTCATTTAAAAGATGCCACTTTCCGTACCTAGTCAAACCAATCTCCATACGTTAAGCATTCATTGTATGTAATATCAATGAAATCGGTTAATTAATGAAAAATGTATTGACTCCTCAAACCCTATTCTGAATTTTGGCCCAGCCTGTAAAAGGTCGATAAAGAGCAATCTATGTGGCAGCTCTCGAGATCCGTGTCCTTGTATTATATTAACAGCTGATGAATGCTAAGGGTATGGAAAACCAATGAATTTAATTGTTGCCAAGGTTATTGAGAGCTGATTAGTTTATGAGCTGATTGCTCATGGTACAAAGTCCGGTTCTTGCTCTAGGACACTGTATTGTGAGCCGTTACCCCATGTTAGGAATGGATCAAGTTTAAGGACTATTAGTAACTTACAGTGTCGACTCCAGCTAGAAGCAGCTCACAGACACTGCCGTACACCTCATCATTGGTCAGTTGCCCACTGGAGAGCAGGTACGTTAAATATTCTCCTTCTATTTCTTCTCCTTTCTCAAGCCTGGATTGTATCTCCTGCATCTTCTTATCCACCATCTTCCTGCCTGGAGGAGAGATTGATCGCCCTTATACAGATTAGATTTGGGAATTGCAACCAAACAGTGGGATATTTGTTTGTTAAATCCAAATCATGAATGAACAAATATCGATGTGTCAGAATTCCACAAACAAATTACACGTTTCATTTCATGCATTCATTCTTGATAATTCATTTAGTTAAAAAGATAGGAGGTCTGGGCTCTTTCTTAAATCCCTATAAAGTGTGTTTGAGTCATTAAGAATCTGAGCATTTGAAAGGCCTGAGCAGTCAAATAGTGTCCCTCACCTATAGGAGCTATAATCCCCTCAGCTCATCAGATTACTGAATGTGGATACATAGTGAACTATAGGAAGGGTCTGCCCAAAGTCAGACACCCAATGTCTTCCAGCAATGAGCTGTGGGTGAGAGGTTAAAAATCAGAGCAGGTGGGCAGCTACAGAGCCCATCCACTCCCTACGACATACCATGGGCTGTGGGATGAAGGTAAAATAAATGGAGGATCTATCAAAACCTTGTCAGTTGCTCACTCTGCACCTGCTGGGAATTATTAGCATATATAAATGCATGACAATAATGACAATCTCCACAAAAATTATTTTAATTGGTGGAATGTTGCCAATAAAGAAAGTCATGTTTGTAGGGAAATAGAGGCAAACAGCAAGAGCTCTCGTGTAAAGCATGTTCCCCGATTTGCAAAAACAGAAAGATCACAAAGAAGTGAACAATTGTAAATAACATTTTAACTTATACTCACCAAACTCAAAAATATTATCCCATCCTTCGAGGTACAGATCCCAAAATGGCAGAAATCGCCTTGTCCAAACGGGCAGGTATGTGACATAAACCGAATTCTTAAACATCTGGCAAATGGAATTAATAAACTTTTGAGTCTCTGGGGGAGTCTGCTTGTCCAGGCAGCCGATTCGAGTTTCAAACACTATGTACGAGATTCCTGGGAACGAAAAAAACAACGTAATTTGCATTAAAAATAAAGGTAACCATTTATTAACACTAACAGGCCTGAAGGGGGAATTGTTAGGAGTTCAAAGTTTATTTCAAGTTTAAAGCTACAGAAGTTGAACTAGAAGCTCAGTTTTCTTGGAGAAATTTTCTAGTTCCGCAATGTCGGACTTAACATTTTAAATTCACTTTGAATCCCCACTAATTCTCACTTTAGTAAATAACTCTGATTGAATTCATAACGACTCAGGTGAATAGCCTTAAAATAATGTGGGTGATGACACACTCATAAAAATATGAGCAAATAAAGGGGTGTTTCGATGCATGTGCACATTATACGGACACGTTATTGGCCAGTCAGCCAACCATTCTATGGACACTGACTAAAGTTCCTGAGCGTGCAAAAAAAACTACATTGTGTGAGAAAGCCCATTATATAGCGCATACTTGCATGTCTCAAGTTTAGTCCTGATAATAAGACTGAAAGGTTGTGGACAGTCCCCACCTGTGACCATGCAGGACACTTGAGAGTTTGCCTTACTTGTGTTCTGAATTCACATAACTTGTACTGTCTAAGTTTAAAGGGACTTACACTGACCTAAGTTTAAAGGGACTTACACTGCTTTGTGTGTGAAGACTACATGGGTGTTTAGCTCAGTGGAACTAAACTTAAGATGCAGCAATTGCCCAGGGCAAATGCCTTGCAAAGACTTATCATTGAGTTACATTGGGGAGGCTGTGATTGGACAGCTACAGAAAGTCTGGGTTGGGGAAGAATATTTTTTAAATATACAACCAATGAAAAAAATGCATAATTAACTAAACGCAAGTTTTAATTAGCAATGTATTTATTTAACAGTGATTTTTTTATGTTTTGTGCTTGGGATTTGGAGTGTCCCTTTAAGTACAGCTATTTACACCTGATGTGTGAAGGTCCCTGCCCTACACACTCAAAGGCAACATAAGCCGGAGCATTGTGTCATGTGAGCCATCATTTAGATATTTTCTCAAATAAATCAGATTGCAAACAGGATTTTATTTCCTAATTTTCTTGCTGTTTCCGTGTTCTGGGATTGCATATTGTTAATATATTTTCACATGATACATACATGTCAGATCAGACATTTATTTTTTATTTCTCACGGTGGGAAAAAAAAGTGGTTGTGTCTCTTTTTTTGAAGACACAAATACATAATCGATCAGAACGAGGCAATCTGTTGTTTGTCATGCGAGTTTACATTAACAAATGTTCAGTTTGAAAACAGATTGCCTGCATTAAATCAAACAGTACATATATTTCTATCTACTTTTTTTAATATATATATTTCAGATTTGTTTTTATCTGTTTTATGGAAAGAGAAAACTAAAATATTATTTAGTGAACAACCAGGTATACATACATTTAAGAAGTGCCTATATTGCATTTCATTCACTTTCAAAAAAAGAGAATAATATATACTGACTAAGGTAGTGATTGATGGCTAATAACCCAAATATTAGTGAAATATTGAATGATGTGCTCAGAGTCTTATGCCAGCACTTCACTTGGATAGTAATACATTCTCTTTAAAGGGAAACAACGTTGAAAATGCATGCTATAGTATAGGGCAGGGGTCGGCAACCTATGGTATGTGATTCATGCTTGGCACTATTGGTATCTTTGCTCGGGCCTCAATGCTGTCAGAGCTAAACAGGCTCTGCCTTATCGAGAGACTTAGTGGGACTTTGGTGATCTCAGATCACTTCCTCATAGCACTTTTGAAGATTTATCCACTTTGGAGTAGAACAGTCCGCAGCAGCGATTACATCTCCTGTCCCTGACCTACACTTTGCCAGCCTGGTCCCCACTGGACCCCAGGGATGCCACCCACACAGCTGCAGAAAAAGGCTCCCCCTCATACAAATAATACAAATAGTCCACACACAAACACACACAGTTCCCACAAACACAACACCACTGACAAACCACATACACGCACACAACCCCATAAGTAGCCTCACATGCAAAACTACAAGCAGCTCCCACATACACACACCATCAAACACAATACGTGACATATCATGCACACACACAATTCCACAAGCAGCCCAAATTCAGAGATAACCTACACAATACCATAAGCTACTTATGAACATATACAATATAAATGCCCACATACGCACAAAAACAACACTACAAAGTAACTGCAGCTGCCATAAATAACACAAGCAGGATACAGCAACATGTACTGAAAAAAAAAAAAAAGGATTGGCACGCCAAGGGACTTTAATATCTTGTTTTGGCACGGTACTTCTGAAAGGTTGCCTACTCCTTGTATAGGGCAATACTAAATGCTAACCCATATAATTTATACGTAGCTCTTTCATTTAGCGGCAGATAAAGGAGAACTGTGTCCAAGCAGTCTGCCATAAGATGTACAAAGTAGATATCGGCATTGTCTTCTCCCCCTGTCTACTCCATTCCAGAAATATGCCTAATAACTATAGAGTAGAGGAAGGCACAGGGATTCAATAAATGTTAGCCAGGTAATATCTGTAAATCAATATATACAATAGAAGCAGGGTTTCATCAACTTATACTTTGAGTACCTTCAAAAGCATATTTGTAGAGTTCGTTTGCTACGTCGTACACCATGTCGCCTGATGGACTCTCCTTACGCGAATTCTGAAGTCGGTCCATGAAATCGGAAACAATCAGATTGATGCTCCCAGCATAGCTCTTGGCATCAGCCGGCTTTAACATCCTTTTATTCAACACTGTCCGCAGAGAATGCCATTTATGTCCATACCTGGGGAGCAGAATTTACTGATTTTATAAATATATCTATATATTACATATATTAAAAAAACACAAATAATCCTACACTCCATGCACACATTATTACTTTTACTGGCCCGGAAATTCCAATACAAATACATTTATTTCAGAGCAGTATGGATAGGGTTAGTAAATACAATTATATGGTATCAATAATTATCGAGAAAATTCAAGCAATAAAAAATGACGTGTCAACTCATTGTCTGCAAAAGTGAACAAGTATGAAACAAAACTGATTTAAAAAAAATAGATTGCAGTGTAGATAAATAGGGGTTAGCTGCACAGCCGAGTTACAGAACCAGATCCAAACATATTTGTACACATTGTAAATTAATGCTGATAGAGATTGAAGCATATTGGGAATTCTCTCTCTTCGATTTCCCCTTTCCTTATTTTATTACAAGATCCACTACAATATATGATTTTTTTTTGGTTGCCGAGTATTTATTCCCCTATTGTAGAGGTCACCTGATACAAGATAATCTGGATGAGGAGGTTGACTTACTGTGTGAACGGTCCATAGGCAATCTTCCTCTTATCCCGATGTGCCTTCCACAAGTCACTCTCATACACATTTCTCTGGGGATGTTTACCTTCCTGTCTGAGCATTATTTCCAAAATTTCAGGGGCGGCTACGTTTATCATTTTGAATTTTCCCAAAACGGACTTATAGAGTGGTCCATATCGCTTCTTATATATCAGCTGTTAAGATACAAAATGGAGATGTTTGGGGCAATTTCTATGTCTGGCTAAATACTGAGTACAAACCAATAATCTTAATAAGTTAAAATCGCCAGCAAATGCATGGATCAAAACCTAGACCGGGATTCTATTAGCACAGTAATGGTTTGCTCTGCCTACTGAATAGCAATTTTCCTATAAACTTCAATGGAGGAATTACTATTGAGTAGAAGAGCAAATGCTTATCTGCTAAGAGATCCAGTCCCTTCTGTGGCAAAATGTTTATTTACCTTACTATGCCCGTTACAACCACGGTGATGGTTTAACAAACTTCAACATGCAATCCCACAACGCATCGCACATGTATGTTCATCACATGAATCGAGTTATTTTCTGAGGGAATCGATTCTTTCGGATGTGGATTAAAAGAGTTTGATTCGCACCAATCAATTTGTTTATGAATGAAACACAGTCTATTACATTTTTGACCGGCTAACTGTCACTGGAAGAACCGTTATATTGAAATGTTACGTTATTTTGAATGTATTTAGCTAGTTTTATACCAATTCTACACGTATCTATTACACAAGATGTAATATTATGCACATGTTTTCCGGTAGTGTATATGATTCAAATTCATTCCATAATACATATTATATATCATTTATATAATAATTTAGATTTAAATAGTATCTAAGCATAATATATATTCATATGTCAAGGTACATAAAACATTGCTGAAATTCGCATGTGTTTCTAAGTTAAATGCTTTTTTAAAGGAACACTGTTGGTACCATAACCACTTCAAATAATTGAAGTGGTTATGGTGCCTGGAGTCCACAGTCCTGAATCACTAATATACAGTTTACTCACCGTTCTCTGTTCCCAGCAGCCTGAAGCCTGACCTTATATGTAACATATAGTAGAGACAGCGTTATGTTCTGCTTCACAACATACTAAGGGTAGTAGCCAGTGATTTTCTGAATCCGTCACCTGGGCGCTCTTGGCAATCACTGCCCCAATCTCTGGCATGAACAGGTATGGCGTGAGGCGGACGTGCTCTTCCAGCAATGTCATATGGTCACTGGAGGACGGGCTGCAGTCTTCCAGGGGCCGAGAATCTCTACTAAATGGTGAGTAAACCATATATTTGTGATGGAGGACCTGGCACCTAATGACTACAGGTACCATATCCACTTAAATCCACTGAAGTTGTTATGGTGTCTGGAGTGCCCCTTTAATAAGAGTTTAAACTGTTCAAACAATGCGCGTCATGTCATGCAGCAAAAAAGAGACTGCATTTACTTAATTGATAATTGTGGAAAATTAACAAAATAAATGTTTTTATACCAAAATAATCAAGTTAGAACAATTGCTGAATCTTAGTATTATAGGAATAAAATTTGCTTTATTTATTTATTTATTTATTTGTTAGTTCTCCGTAATTCTTTATTTAGTGGATACATTGTTACTTTGTTTCTTGCTGATAAAGATTTCTAAAGCGGCAATAAATAGCTCTCATCTACAGGGTGCGACTGTCAAATGCAGGAAATTCCTGAAATGTATTGTTTGAGCAGCAGGAAGGGCAGATAACAAGCAGTCTATAGGTTACCAGCTCTGTGTAGCAAAAAAACAACAAACTAACCAAATGCCCATTGCTGCTCCTTAGTAATGGCAACAATTAGAGATCTGGTTAATATAAAGCCTTAAACTCGGCTCCCCCAGTCCCCCGTTACACTGTTCCTAGTAGTCTAATGGCCATCACTCAGACAATCAGTCATTCGGACGGCCACTAGAGGCACTGCCTTGTACTGTTGTATAATCTTTCCAGGACAAACTTATTTTTAGCTAATTCATTTCTATTTTTTTTTAGATAATTCATCTCTACAAGGAGATGCTGATTGGCGAAGCGCAGTGTTTTGCCAGAACTGTTTCCAGTCAGACCGGGTACAGTGAGCAGGTGCTCTTCCACCGCGTTCTGCCTGCTCGGCCACGCTACAGCAGGGTACAGGGAGAGCTGGGTGGAATCAAATGGGAAACATGGGGTGCTGGGGAACTAATGGGACACCTGGGGTGGAAATAATGGGACACCTGGGGGCTCGGCAGGGGAACTAATGGGACACATGGGGGCAAGGCAGGGGAACTAATGGGACACATGGGGGCTGGGGGGAACTAATGTGACACATGGGGGCTAGAGGGACACATGGGGCTAGGCAGAGGAACTAATGGGACACATGGGGCACTGGGGAACTAATGGGACACATGTGGGTTGGGGGGGAACTAATGTGACACATGGGGGCTGGGGGCTATAGGGACACATGAAGGGCTGGGGGCTATAGGGACACATGAAGGGCTTGGAGGGGGCTGTCAGGGGGTAAAGGGACCTATGGAGGGACTGAGGGAGATAATAAGGCACATGAAGGTGGGGGGGGAGGGGATAATGAGAAACATGGAGGGCTGGGGGAATGGAATGAGACATAGATGGCTGGGGGATGGATTAAGAAATATGGAGGGATGGCGGGCTAATGAGACACATGTAAGGCTGGAGGGGGTGAAATGAGACACATGGAAGGCTAATGAGACACATGGAGTGCTGCGGCCTCAGAAAGAGACTAACAGAAGGGCTGGGGAAGGGGTGAAAGAGTCAAAGGGGCTGGGGCTAATGACACATGAAAGAGGCTTGGGGGAGAAAGAGACAAACAAAATGCATCTTCACTTGTGTCTCCTGCTGTCCCTGTAATTTAGAGTTGACCGGTGAGAGAAAGACTTCGTATTAAAGGCACACTGTAGTCACCAAAACTACTACAGTTTGATGTAGTGGTTCTGGTGTCTATAGCCTGTCCCTGAGCACTGTAAATGCTACCTTTTCAGAGAAAAGGCAGTGTTTACATTGCCGCCTAGAAACATCTCTTGTGACAGTCACTCAGACGGCCACTAGAACTGCTTTCAAGTCCAGTTGTGCAGCACCTAAGTTGAGCATCTCCACACTCTGCATGGAGGCGCTGAATGCTCCCCTTAGAGATGCATTGATGCAATGCATCTCTATGAGGAGATGCTGATTGGTGCGGTGAAGCCCAGCATTTTGCCACACATACGCAATAGCCCCCCAATGCTTTCCGATGGGAATTGAATTGGCGTTGAGTGAAATCATCCAGTTTTCACCCAAAGTGAAGAGCACACTCTTGTTACTTCAAAATAAACAAGATAACGTATTTTTTTTTTACTGCTGTGCAATAGCATACATTCACAATTTCAGTTTAACTTTTCTTAATATATCAAGGTAGTTGTACTGACACATTGATTATATGCAAATGCACGTCTGCTTGCAACAAATCCGCTCTTTTGTTTATTTTGAAGCCCTGTTAGTGCTTTCTTTCACGTTTGAGTGGTAGTTTTTAGTTTTAAGGTTTTTTTTCCCGCTTCCATATCAGCGCACTATGCTGGCGCAATGCATTATGGGGCGGGTATAGAATTTTTTCCAGGACAGCTTTTCATTCCCAGTCCGGCCCTGATGCAGGCCCGCACTATCTAAGTGCCAGCCCTACTGTGTGCCTTCACAAACCCGAGGGGAGAACAGAGATTTCCCTCAGAGGCCCACAGGCACTATGCTGGGCGGCTGGCAGGGTAGGGATAGAGAACCCGGGATCGCTAGCTTGCCTCTCAGCCGGGTTCTCCTCTCGCGAGCTTGGTTAGAGTTCTTCTAATATCCTGTAAAGGAGGGAGTGATATATTTGCTTTAATCTGCCCCACCTACCTCCCCCCACACACACATATGCAATAACTTCCTACCCATTCACATGCATTGCCCTCCCACACACAATGCTCCCCCACACACACACTGCCCTCCATACACACACTGCCCTATACGATGCACACTGTCCTACACATACACAAACACATTGCCCTATACGATACATACCGTCCTACACACACACACACACCCTGCCTTACATATACACATACTTCCCCTTTACACACTGTACCCCTCACACACACTGCACCCCTAAAACACACAAACACTGCACCCTTCCCACACACACACACTGCACCCCACACACACACTGCACTCTTCACACACACACTTCACCCCTCACACATGCACACTTCACCACTCACACGCATTGCACCCCTCCCTCACACAAACACACTACAGCCCCTATCATCTACTACAAGCCCTATCCCTTATTACAGCCCCTGTCATGGCAGATCAAATGTAAGTTATTAAACTGTTCTTAAACAGGGAGGGCGTCACGGCACTCCTGGCACCATAACCACTACAGAGAGCTGCAGTGGTTATTGTGCCTGGATTGTTCCTTTGAAAATAATCTACCAGTGCCCCTCCTGAGTTTAGATACTGGATCCGCCCCTGTAAGAGATAGGACTAGAAATATGTCTGTGTAAATAAGATACATTGTGCATAAACTGTTATTAGTAAGTCACCACAAATTTCTCAGAATAGACACGCTCCTTTTTGTCCATTTGAAATGTTGAGAGGCGCACTCTTTATTGACCAGGGTAGAATGCCCTTAAATGACATTCGTACCAGTCTGGCATGATGCAATAATTCACAAACTTTACTTTATCGCATGCAAACACTGCTGAACCCTAAGACCTCTCATATAATCAATATATGGGCTATTACAAGGTCAGAGATGAATGATATTCTATACTACAACCTATATTACAAAGTGTAAAGAACGGGACTAGTGCAGGGTCTAAAACAGGAGTGCCCAAAAGGTAGATCCCCAGGTGTTATAGAACTACAACTCCAATGATTCTTTGCATGGCTTTGGAATGCCTTTAGAATGGCAAAGCATCATAGAAATTGTAGTTTTAAAGCATCTGGGGATCTACCTTGTGGGCAACCTTAGTCGAAAACATAAATATTCAGAGTTACACCCTAAAAGAGAGAATTGTTGGGAACCCGTGAGAATAGAGACACTTTTAGTCCAAAACCGCTGAACTGAAAAACATTCTGAAAAACATGGGCATTTGGTCCAAAAAAAATTGTATTTCTTGCTCTCAGGATTAAAAAATAAATAAATAAATAATCATATATATATATATCGCTTCTGTATGTACTGCTCAATATAATCAATGTCGGTATGTACTAAATAAAGCGTAACACTAGACATTTACTAAGAATTAGGGCGATATTTTGTTTAAAACGTTTGACGTGGTTCGATGGAGAGTAAAACAGGTTAAATAAAATAAATGTACATCACCGTAAACCAACGAGATTGTGTATGCAAACAGTGACCTGTATATCTTACACACCATTTTATTTATTTATTTATTTATTTTTCTAAAGCACATGAAAACTAAATAAAATAAGACAAAACTAAAATTATGTTGATATATATATTCACCGTGGGAATTAATAGAATGCCTTGCAACATACTTTGCCCCAGAATAGCACCGGTTTTGCCTTGTTTTATAAACATCTCCCTAAATTTGGTTTCTCTTCCTGGGGAACATCTATCACAGCAAAACAGGTCCTGTTCTAGACAAAGTGCTAAATACGGAGAAATCACCATAGAAACCAATAGCATGTTTTGAATATTTTACGAACTACATTCCTGTACATATACATATATTCCTAAACTATAACTATAACGATATTAGCACATTGCCCGGTCGGACGGTTTATTCGCAGTTTATTTATTCGCTATCTTACAGCAAACGATGAATGTTGGACACAGTGTACTTAATTGAGACTTTTTTTGCACACGGTTACTTTCAAGAAGAACGTTTTAAGTTAGTTTAATTTTATGATAATAATTTTTGTTTTAAATTTTTTTTGTTGAGTTAGTTTTATTTGTACTATTTTAGTTAGTTGGTTAAGTTTATTATATTTTTTTTAGTTAACTAGTTAGTTGTATTATTCATTTTTTTAGTTAGTTGAATAGTAAATGCCCCCACTCCCCCACACACCCCACTCCCCCAGGTGTTTTAGATCAACTTACTTGTAACTGGTGAGTATGCAGAATGTATCCTCTTAGAAAGAACCAGTAGAGGTTCTGTAGCATTGAGGGTCCAGGCAGATCATCAAATGTCTTTAATTTCTTTTCCCCCTCTACTACCCCAGCTGCAGCCCCTGCTCTGGTCCTGTTCTGGGTCCCAGTCACCCTGCATGTCTGCAGCAGCAAGACGCCCCTTCTCCTGCCCAGAGACTGCCTGCAGAGACTGGAGACAGTAGATAACATGGCTGAGCTATGCATTAATTGTTTCATGGGGATAGAAGCAGACAAGGATGTAGAAGGATACTAGTACTAAGAATCTCCCTCCCACTCTTAAACCATTAACTGTTTAGTGGAACACAGGATGGGCTGAGCAGCCAAAGTTCAATGTTTCTCTAATACATAGAAAATGTTGTGTTTACCTAGTGCAACATTGCAATTACTCTAAATACTCAAAATTCAATGTAACCCCGTCCAGCCCAATCCACTCCATAAGAATATTGATTTGGTTGTGATACATTTGTGAAAATCTAAACAATATTCATTTATTTCTACAATTTGTATTGCTTTATTTTTTATTTTTTAGAAAGCATTTACAATACGTCTATAATGTATTGCATGCTACGCAGGTGGACTATGCAGGCTGGCTTAGGTATTTACGTAAATTAAACTTCTTCCGAGTTTAGTAAGTACTGATTTTGGTCTGCAGGGCCACCTTTTCTGTTCCTGCCTCCCAACTAGAATTAATTCCTTTTCTGCTCCAAAATACACAAGTAAATTATGAAATGACTTGGCTTGTGGAAAGTTGACAATTGAACTACAAGTCACAGAAATCTTTGCTCTGTCCTTAAAGCACTACATACTCCATATAGTTGGTAGCGTTCAAGAAAGTGGATCAGTTACTCCAACACTTTTTTAGGGGAAACTTTTTATAAAAAAAAGTTTCTGAAATACCTTAATTGGTACTACTAATAGGTTCTCCCCCTTCACTTGGCAATAAACCTGGAAAAAAAAAGTTTTTGTAAACCAGCGATGACTTTAGACAGGGCCTCACGCGGTCCAATCACTGGCTTCTCATAGAGGTGACAGGTGACTTGGAAAATTTTTTTAAAATAATTTCAAAGTTGTTAGAAAAAGTCGTTAGTAACTCGAAATTAGAACTCTCTCAACTTGGCTATGTTTGCTTTAAACTTACAAAATCTGGTGAACAGACTGTTGAATGACACAAACATGAATGGTGAAAGGCAGAATGATGCAATAATCCACCCACACCGAACATCACTAACACACAGACATGAGCCTGGTGTGGAGGGTGACCCTCCATCCCCCATGAGCTGTATAATATAAAGTGACACGTATTTACTCATCTTCTCTCCAGCGCCGGTTCTCCCTTGGTCACATAATGTCATCCTGCAGGCGTACCTCCAGAAAGGGAGCCCAATGGGTCACTGTCTGTGTGTCAGTGTGCGTATGGGTCAGAATATGTGTGTGTATATATGTTAGTGTGCGTGGGTCATACACCCTGCACATTACTGGGGACTCCGTAATTCACACTGCACATTAATGGGACTCTGTAATACACCCTGCACATTACTGGGGACTCTGTAATACACACTGCACATTACTAGGGACTCTGTAATACACTCACACACACTGCACATTACTGGGGACCAGGGCCGCCATCAGGGCATTGTCATGGGCCCGGTGGTCCTGGGGGGCCCGGACTGCTCTGGGAGTCCCGGGCCCCACATTCCATTTGTGCACATATAAATAGTGATTATCGCTATCTATATGTTCACCACGGGCCCCGGCTACCTGTAGAATGTAGACAGGGACCAGTCAGCGCATCTTAACTCTCCAGCAGCTCCTGTGCCTGTAAGTGTCGCGAGCTCCGCGGCTTGCAGAGAGTTTTCACAGGTTACCATGGCAACGATATGCGCGGCAAACAGGCACAGCTCACGAGAGTTACAGGCAGGAGGTGCTGGAAAGTTAAGATGTGCTGGCTGGTCCCCGTCTACATTCTACAGCGGCTGGCTCCCTCCACTTTACCACCAGACCACCAGGGATGCGATCTCCCTCCTCCCTTTCCAGGTAAGAAGCAGGGAGGGGGGAATAAAATGTAAATGCCACCAAAAAGGCTCCCCTCCCACCCGTCCACCCCCAAATGCAGCCCCCTATTTTACACATTTACATACACTAAAACCACAACACACACTGCATACACCACACACACACTAAAACAACAACACACACACTGCATTCACCATACACACACTAAAACCACAACACACACACTGCATTCACCATACACACACTAAAACCACAACACATGCGCACACTGCATTTACCATACACACACTAAAACCACAACACACACTGCATACACCATACACACACTAAAACAACAACACACACAGTGCATTCACCATACACACACTAAAACAACAACACACACACTGCATTCACCACACACACACTAAAACTACAACACAAACACACACTGCATTCACCATACACACACTAAAACCACAACACACACACACACTGCATTCACCATACACACACTAAAACCACAACACAAACACACACTGCATTCACCATACACACACTAAAACCACAACACAAACACACACTGCATTCACCATACACACACTAAAACTACAACACACACACTGCATTCACCATACACACACTAAAACCACAACACAAACACACACTGCATTCACCATACACACACTAAAACCACAACACAAACACACACTGCATTCACCATGCACACACTAAAACCACAACAGAAACACTTTATCTAAAACACACAAAACTACATCCGTTATACAAATGTGCAATCTGTATCCATTTTACACACCACACAGGGCATCCTCGGGGGCGGGCCCAGGGGGCCCACACTTAGAACTTTTCCGATGGCAGCCCTGCTGGGGACTCTGTAATACACTCACATACACTGCACATTACTGGGACTCTGTAATACACTCACACACACTGCACATTACTGGGACTCTGTAATACACTCATACATACTGCATATTACTGGGGACTCTGTAATAAACACTGCACATTACTGGGGACTCTGTAATACACTCACACACACTGCACATTACTGGGACTCTGTAATACACTCATACATACTGCATATTACTGGGGACTCTGTAATACACTCATACATACTGCATATTACTGGGGACTCTGTAATAAACACTGCACATTACTGGGGACTCTGTAATACACTCACACACTGCACATTACTGGGGACTCTGTAATATACTCACATACACTGCATATTACTGGGGACTCTGTAATATACTCACACACACTGCATATTACTGGGGACTCTGTAATACACACTGCACATTACTGGGGACTCTAATACACACTCACACACTGCTCATTACTGGGGACTCTGTAATACACTCACACACACTGCACATTACTGGGACTCTGTAATACACTCACACACACTGCACATTACTGGGGACTCTGTAATACACTCACACACTGAACATTACTGGGCACTCAGTAATACACTAACACACACTGCACATTATTCTGGGACACTGCATCTTATTGTTGGACTATGGAATTCACTTATACACACTGCACATAACTGGGGGACTCTGCAATACTCTCAAAGATTTCCCAACAGTCCCTATTGTAGGTCCCAATTTTGTTTCCTGGTGTCCTGCATCTGATAGCACAGTTGAGCATGTCTTTAGACAGTTTTTCTATTTGAGACAGGCACTAGGACCAAGCAGATAGCACTTCAACCGTTCTTTGCATGGTCCTTTATGTTGGGGTCTGTCAGCCTGGTGTACCGTATAAAGCTATATAAATTCAAAATATCAGAACACAGTGTACGAGGGTCATTGTGATTTAGTAAATATGATCGTAAAGGTTTCAGAGGACACAGAACTACAAAACTTTCTTAAAACCACAGAATATTTATGTCCACTCTTAAAAATATCCCTCCTGTTTGTGTGTGTTTGCATATTTTTTTCTTAGAATTTATTAGCACTTTTCGTTTTATAGGACATGCATCTGCTCTTTAAGTTAAGGCAAAAAACAAAGTCCAAAGGTGTGTTCCACTTATGCTGACATATAAAATGTGCTGAGAATATCAGACGTACGAATGTTGGATTTTCAAACCATGTACAGGAATACAGCACTACAGAATGTGTTGGCACTTTATAAACAAAAATTATAATAATCAAGTAAATTTTAATCATCTGACTTTTTGACAGACCACTTTAATTTCGACTCTGATTTAATTAAACGCATCAGTACCCTAATTATTATAATTAATTTGACTGACCTGCTTAACTTGATCGCTGTCACGAGTCGATTAAATGTCATTTATTTATATTTATGGAAAATATTCTTAAAGTAACCCATGACCTAATGGAACACTCTACTCTGCTTGCATTTTGCTCTCTGTCGGTTTTCTTTAGGATATACTGAAATAAGGCTCGCAAAAGCTGTAGATCTGAGGTCTGCAGCTGTTACAGGCCCTCCCCATTTTCCCCAGCTCACACTTGCAGTCTGCCCTGACTAATTGACCAATCAGAGGCTAGGGAGTTGTTTTACAAAAATGCTAATTGCTATTGAAATCAACATTTTTATAAGTTGGGGAAAACACAAAAAAATTTGGATCTCTGGATCCTGGAGTGCTTTGTGTTTGTGTTTCTTTACATTTCAATACATAACATTTGTGGCATGCCATAAAACATTTAAACCTATGTATTAGTTAAAATTCCACCAGATATGTTACATTATAGAATACAATTAAGCAAATAGACAGAATTAAATGTACAGCAGTGCAGTCTGGTGGACCTGCTCACTTCCTCATACAATATATACCCCAACCCTCACTGTTCTGAGGGGCCAACAACAGCAGGTTATGCCTGACGCATTTTACATTCTAAACATTTATACATTGACTAACTTATAGGAATATAGAACATGCTGTACATACCACGTGCTATGAAGTGTGAACTATTTGTTGGGAGATTTGGTGATTGTAGCGTAAATGTAAAAATTAAGAAGCAGAAAGACATTAAAGCAATTTACTACAATGCTTTATCCAAACTTGTGTCAATGTTATTGGTTGGTACGATTAGACTCAACATATTATCCGTCAGCCATTACCTTCATCCTATCGACCAATCCCAGTGCCATGACAGCATGAGAGATCATTCTATTTATTATAAATTATTTACACAGTGCCAACTATCTATACAAATAATAAACTTGTATGTGTTACCGAATAAGGGGAAAGCTCAGTTTTAGTGTAGATACAATGTACGCATGAAACAGATAAAGAAAGGTAAATATCGATCTGTATATACTCTGGCCTTGACCATAATCTCTCTAATCTCAAGGTCTCTGTGACTCAGGCTATTACAGTCAATATCTCACAATATCTCACAGTGAGCTTTGTCTCTTAACACACAGCTACACTGCTGTGCCAGGGACCCTTGATCCATTGTATAGATTAGTTTACAATGTCAGCCAGATATTGTCTGTGGCTTCTTGCACATTCCTTGTCCTCTGCTTTCAGAAAATCTAAATCAGAATACTGTAGTTACTTAGTAATGGCATGGTTTGTGTAGCTTTGGTTAAACTCTTACCCAGTGCCCACAGTCTTTCCAGCCTTCATAAAGCAGAATAAGAACTTCCACTTGGCTGTATTGTGAAGACTATAAGGACTGCGGGTTCCTGACAGGTTTGAGGTATGAGTCAGACCATTAATATGAGGATGGTGCCATGGGACTCCTGACACCACACTTTCTCGTGTGGACTGTTATTTTGTATGGTGCTTACAGTGCATTTTACATTTCTATTTTTTTTCAGAAAGCAGTTATCCTTTAGCATGTATGCTCACTGAGCAGGGCCCTCGAGCTCTCTGTTCCTGTGCGTCCAACTCATCTGGTAACAAATATTTGTTTGTTAGTCCACCCATTGTACAGCGCTGCGAAATTTGTTGGCGCTTTATAAATAATAATAACAATAATTAGGACTTGCTCTGTTTATGCACTTTATAAATGAATCGATGGATACAAATTAGTATTTTAGTTTTTTCTAGATTACTTCATTAATCTACTGGGAGTACACACTGGTGTGCCAATGGTCTAAATTGCTCTTGCATGTGACGGGGTGGGTAAAATTGGTAAATATGTTATTCAGTTGATGGGGTGAATGTAACTTGGTGGTTGGCTGTGTGTGACTGTATGGAGATATGTGACAGTGTGTATGACTGGGTGAACGTGACTAGGTGCCTGTGTGTGACTGTATGGAATCATGTGACAGTATGAAGGTATGTGACAGCGTGTATGGCTGGGTGAATGTTACTAGGTGACTGTGTGTGACAGTATGGCGGTATATGACAGTGTGTATGTCAGGGTGAATGTGACTAAGTGACTGTGTGTATTTGTATGGAGGTATGTGGCAGTGTGTATGGCTGAGTAAATGTGACGAGGTGACTGTGTGATTGTATGGAGGTATGTGGCAGTGTGTATGGCTGGGTGAATGTGACTGGGTGACAGTATGTAACAGCTAGGGAATATGCACAGGGGATGACAAGTTAGTATAAGAGATAAGACTCTCTGGTAAAAGAGTTTACGTGGGTTTATATTACAATTATACATGTAATTTACAAACTGGTTGGATGAGCAACTAAAGAGAATCCATATAGTAAATTTGCCTTCAAACATAATATGCCTGGATACACTTCATCCCATAAACCCCCTTAGCTCCTCCCTGGCACTAAATAATATATATATATATATATATATACATATATATATATATATATAAGATCCAGCGAAATCACCTATCCACTAAACAGCAACTTCAATGTTGAAAGATTTTATTTGTTTTTTAAAAACTCATAATCTAGGCAAAAATAATGGGGGTTTAGTTACATTATATGATCATACATTGCATAAGCCTGCCACAACGTCAATGTACCCCATCTTTGGCAGGTCCTACTCTAACAGCCTAATGTCTGCTCTTATGAGATTAACCCACTTACTTGGGGAAAAAATTCCATCTGGGGCTCTCTGCAGTACAAGGCTAAATAGAGCCCTGGGATGAGGCACCTGTGACAGGGAGGGGTGCAAAACCTAGGAGTTGGCTAGACTCCCAAATATATTTATATATATATGAAACAAAGGGGGGTTGGCTACACTCACCTAAACATGCATAAATGGGGGTATAATTTGGCCCCCAGCAGCACCCCATTTATTCATGTTCAGGTGAGTGCAGCCAACCCCCCTTTGTTTCATATATGTATATATACGTACTTGGCAACAAGATGTGTTGGGGACGTGTTGATTTATTTGAAAGTAAAGTTCATGTATCTTTCAGTTGCTCAAATGTATCCTTCCAACTAGGAATATGTTGAACTATTTTTGTCATCCTCCCTGCTCAATAATGCCCAAGGGTCCTAGGGCAACCACCATCAAAAGAGACTGCCCCTGTTATTAGAATTCCCATTCTCTGTGGGCCATATTGTCCTTGCTGACATGGCACTGCTTCCTGATTCCCTAGCTGTCCCAATTAGCCCTAATATCACTGCAACCAAGTAAATTGTGTCTTCTCTTAGTCACCACTGATATCCTTCTGGCAGAGAATATTCCAGGTGTCCTAGGAAACATCTCTAGTGGTGCAAATCTTGCCTCGGTACTTCATTATTCAGCTCCTCATTCCCCATAAAAACGGGGACTGGGTATTCTGTGACAGTGGATCACCTTCCATCAGAACCATGGAGGAACAGTAGAGTTAAATGTAAGGGCCACCATACTGATTCAGGCCCAGGTAAGTCCTTTTGTGGTAGAAATACTTGGGAAGTGGAGCGCTGGACAAGTGGCAGAGATCAAACAAAAGGGTATATATAATAGGAGACCTAATAACCTATTAACAAAATATACACAATAATATTACAAATACCCTAAATCCCTGGCTTAAATGTCTTAAAGTATAGGGCTACTTTTGAAATTATCTGTGCAGAAAATTCAAGCTATCATGTACTATAATTAACATGAGAAATAACAAACATGTAAGCTGCAGCAGACTAATTAATAAACAGTCCAGTAGTGTCTGTGCAGATTCCTTGAATCAAATATTCCTTTGGATAATGGTATTCCGTAGTAGAAATAAATATATGTGGAAACACAGAGAAATATAAGCAATTAGTTGGTTGATCTTCGTATCGGCAGAAATACATGAAATGCAGTCCAGATTGCAATGAATAAAATTGGCTTTATTAGAATCTTGGCTCTTAACTAAAAATCAGTATAGAAATCTCACGGTAAAACCTTCAAATAAAATACTGCATGTGCAGATCTCATTAACGAGTGTTTGTAGACTGGTTCACAAAATGCATACTGGGTGCCGACCTTTAGTGCTCACGGCGTCCCGGATCAGCAGTTTAGATGTTGTATAGCTGAATGCAGTAAAGGCAGATGCGTCCTAGATGCTGGCTTTTAGTGATCAGCAGTCAGTCCCTCCAAACGCGTTTCTCCGTAACAACGGCTTTCACAATGGATATGGACTCTCTGGCATTTTGACGCTTATATCGCGGTTTCTCTTTTCAATTTGCACATGTAACTAAACATTATTTTTAAAACATATTATATACAAAGTGTTCGTTTCTAATACATTGTTTCAGCGGTTATAAATGGTATCAATTTCTCGTTCTTAGTCACATATAATAAGTTACATTTCGAATAGATATGTGTACCCATAGTTACTCCCGCTGTAATTGCGTTCAAAATTTAACTGCCATTGACTTCTATTGTCAATATTCCTTAATATAGCACGAAATACAGCTAAGAAATTAAACAGAATAAATTGAAAACATTTAAGACATCCCCCATATTGTTAACAATTATTTGCATGTAGAAATCAGGAGAAGGTTAGCAGGTTTTACCGCTAATACAAATAGTGGTCATTTATTTTAAATCTGATATTGGTAGCTTAAAAATTGTGCTGCACTTATGGAATACATATCCATCCTAAATATTAGTAGTGGATTTTATTACATTATTCCTGACTATACTTACATCTCTAGTGAATGTTTCTTTAAAGGAACCTCGTTTCTATACAGTGCCTCATTCGGATTTTTCCAGTGTATATTCCACATGTGGCAAAAATAGCAAAGAATAGAAATGGAGATAGAAGAGAAAATGGTGTATAGCAAGAACTCAATAAAGAAATACAATGGATTAGAACTATTAAGGATCTGTATTCATGAATATATTGGTAAAAAAAAAAAACGAAAAAATAAAAATAAAAAAAATAAATAAATAAAAAAAAGTGAAGGGTTCTT